TCAATGAATTTATATTTGGATAGGTTCGCAACAAAAATGGATGGATCGTGTGAACATATTTTATTTATTATTCTCATTGAATCAATCTTCTTGTAATTCCATTGGCAATGAGGAATTCGTCTCGAATGTTCATTATATTTAATGTGAAAATTTTTTAATTCTAAATTTCTAAATCTAATCAAAAAAAAAATGTTGAAAAAATTTCCAATATTTTCAATTATATTGTAAAGGAGTGAAATTTGAAATTTACGAATTATTTGCCATATTTAAACGTCGAACGTCTCAGATCACTTATCTTCTTATTTGATTCGGGACTACTAGTACCATTAGATTCCGTGCAGATATTTATTACCTCAATTTATTTACACAAAATGGAGTTATTTGATACCTCAGATTGTTGTGACATTTAGTCGCAATACTTTAAGCTTTTTAGGATTCCAAATCATTCGTCATCTAAGCTTTTCCATTATTTCAGATTTAAATTGCTTAGAAATTCAAGTTCCTTAATACTTAGGTAAGTTTACTTAAATTTTGAAAATTTTATAGGTGAAATAATTATAATAGTTGCCTGTTGCACCATACATTCAAATTTTGAAGTTAAATTTTAAATCTAAGTTTTTTATTAAAAGAAATTTTCAATAAGAATTTTAAAATTCGTCTTTCGGAATTAAGATTTCGTTTTACTTTTTAGCCGAAAGAAAGGTCAAAGTTGATACACAATGACAACCTAAATTAACTTTCGAAGCATTACTACTATAGACCGCAAAGCGAAGAAATAATATAGTAAATGAAGAGGAGATAATAGATCGACAAGATTTGCCAAAAACAATATGTTATTCTCTGTACCAGATATTGAGAGAGTTAGCAAAAAGATGTGCTTTACAGTTGTGGCAGTGTGATTGAGAAAAGCTAAAAGACTGTGCATATAGGAAGAGACGGATGGGATTGACAAAATTTGAGGAATAAAACATTATAAGGGGTTTGGTTGGTTGCAGCGGAAAACACAAAATCGGTTTGTTTACCGGAATATCACAATCACTGATTGGATGAAAATAATCAGTTCGTGAACGAATGGACTTTTGCTATTTTAATGCTTATTTTAATTTAAATTTGATAGCGCGCATATGTCAAAATTTTCTGGATCAGAGGAACGGATTAATTACGTCAAGCACTATGTGTCCCATCGATTTTGGTGTTCCATTATTAGATTTCTTATTTACAGCAAATGGATAATACGGGTCATTTGGAATCATTGCAACAGTCATCTGGATGGAAGAGAAAACGACGGGAAAATCAGGAATGGGAAGGTGAAGATTTTGGACCGGTTACGTGGCAAGAATTATCCAATATGCGTCGGAATTCGGTTATCTTATTCAATAGTGAACTTTATCCGAATAAAATATCGGAGTGGTCATTGCGAGCAGAACCTGGACGAGATAATAAATACTACATCTGTGTTTTGTGCAGAAGACTTCAAGTCACTATTTAATTTTACTTCAAATCTTTTTATGTGTAATATATTTAAGTATAACTGTTTAGTAAATTTATTCATTAGTGTAATGTATCTCCTGTATTCATGACTTTAGATGATTATCAAATATTATTCGAACTGTCATTTAAGTTGTCAAATCATGCCAATGTAATACATTCGTAGTAACATATTCATGTTACGTCATTTGTATGACCGTTATTTGTTTCTTTTCTTTTTATTTGAGATAAGTTATTTTCGAGTACTATATACCTCAAAAGCTTCTTTACCTAAGGTATATATGGTACTTATTTAAATACTCTAGTTAGTAACATTTGGTTTGCTTCCTATTACAACTAAATTGGATTCATTCATTTCTTGGAAAAATTGCATTATCTCAATATCTGGTTGCAGGATCATGGTAAACGTTTGATACCGCCGGTAAAATTTGGTCCACCGGCTCGTATTTTGGTTCGTAATGGGCGTTTTCTTACACACCCAGATTATCCTCGTACACCGCATATATGCGGGTTCGGTGATAATCCAATGTCTGATCGTGCAGCTGTCCTTGCACGACGTGCAATGATTCGTGCACGAACGGAAATTAGCGAAGATGGTATGACACCACGGGAAAAAATCGACCAAGTTTTAATCAGTTTTAGAGAAAATGGAAAATATTCAAATTTAAGGTGCTATTTGAATTTATTGTAAGATCTTTTAACAGAGTAATATTTGATCAAATTATTTTTTCAAAAAGGTTTTTTCTCGTGTTTGATGTAGCGTGTAAGTAGTCGGCTCTCATGCTGGTCTTTCTGGATATTTCAGCTATTTTTGAGTATATTTATGATGAATATAAAAATAAAATTTCCATTAGAAACTGATATTAAAAACTGTTGAAAATTTTAGAATGAAGACCGCTCTTTTCGGTTATATCACAGTGAACACAGTTTGAGTAGAGATGATATTTGCCGTGGTTTGTTTGAATGGAAAACCATCAACATATGATCAAAATTTTTATTCTGGTGAAATACTTTTAGTGCTGAAGAAATAGAACAAATGGAGGACATGATATTGGGACGTATACATGGACGTATGTGGTCAGAATCGAGCTCTATACGATCACTATACATTAATCGCCGTAAGCTAACAAATGCTAATCATAAAAATAAACCGCGTAAAGTTTACGAATGTCCAGTGGTGGATTGTGATTTTTTGACATTTGCATCCGGTATGATCGATATTCACATAAACGAAAAGCATCGCGTTGTGAATGATTCCAGTGCAGTTGATTCAGCAACCTTTGAAGTAAAACATTCAACTTTTAGTTCGTTGCTTGGAATTAGTAAAAAGGGATTTTTGTTTGTACATTATTATTTTAAAACATGCTAGCACTTTTTAAATTTGAAATATTTAAACAGTCATAAATTAGCTTACTTGATGGTTGATTATATGGCAAGTTAGCTAAGGTCTAAGGTACTATTTAAAAAAAGACGGCATGATACCAGTGGGGAGGATTGACGAAGTTTTAGTCAGATTCAGAAAGAATGAGAAGTATTCAAATCTAAGGTACTATTTAAAATGGTCAAGTAATAAAATATATAATAAAATTAGTAAATCGCTTTGATGTTTCTGAAGATTTTTTATTTGAATTATAAAATTGCATGAATATTTTCCTATTAAGCTAATATTTTTCTTTTTTGTTGGTAATACCTTTACGACTGACATCATAAGATCAGTCTCGAAGGATTGGAAGATTATTTGTGTTGACGAATATCATAAAGTTTAATATGATTAGTTAAAAATGATACTCATTTAAATATAGTCTAATTTCTATCATTGGAAATTTCTTAATGTTGGTTTTTATTATGTATTTTGGAAATTTTAAGGCAGAATACTTGGTTTCCGCAGAAAGAAACGATGAAGTGAACATGTTATCGGGCGAATCTATCGGAACACAAAATGCTTCGGTTTACTCAACTGCACAGGTAAATAAATACCGAAGAATACTGTAGAAAGAGATAGAAAGGTCAATAAAAAGATTGGCCATTTGTATATGGTGATAATAGACTGTTCTTCAAATCAACTTAGAAATTTCCCTTTAGTATGAAATTTTTTTGAAGACTGTACATTGATGGCTTTACCCATTATGGTGACTATCGGTTTTCTACCGCCTGACTTGTATTGTGTGTAGTTTAAAAATTTGCGTCTTCAAGTTCTTGCCTGTCCCCAATTGAATTTGGTTGATTTGTATTACCATCGATTTAACTGATTCTTTTCTTGCATAAAAGTATTTTCAGATAGATCTAGAGCCAAATCCATTTTGCGATCCTGAAGGAGATTACGGTCCGGTTATATACGAAGCTCTTTCTTGTCAGCGGCGTAAATCTATCATCTTATTCGAAAGTAGACGTTTTCCGAATAAAATTTCTGAATGGGCCTTGAAGATGCCAACAAATGATATGACAATGTATTACACATGCGTACTTTGTCGAAAGCTTAAAGATAAAGGTAAACGACAAGAACCACCCATTCAGTATCCTCCTCCTGCTCGAATTGTAGTACGTAATGGACGCTTCATGATACATCCAGATTATCCGAAAACACCACATATTTGCGATTTTGCGAATAATCCGTTATCGGATCGGCAATCCGTTTTGTCGAGACGGTAAGAATATGAGCGTCTTTTCTTCCTTTTTTTGAGAATGCACTTTATCAAATAAAATAGCATTTACATTATTTGATATTTATATTTGATTTTGAAACTAAACATTGATTTTCTTCCAAAAAGTTATTTGTTGTGGTAATATTTTGCCATTTCCACATTTACATTAGAAACTTTTTCAGAGTACTGGCCAAAAGACCTGTGAATGGATCGATTTCTAATGTCTCAGTTCGGAAAACTTTTAATTATGCTACTAATCAAGATATGAACTATCGATATATTACAATCGCTCCGTTGGAACGTTCTTCGGACGTTTATGTAGTCGAAGAACCAGGAACTTGGCCACGAGACCCAGTAAGTTGAGATATCTGTCTGATTTCCAGAAAATATATCCATCTTTGATTTTATTTTTTGTTTCATTACCATATTATATTAGTAGTTGGAGGGGATAATGATAATAATGAATAAAGTACTCGCTTAAAATATAAGTTCCTAGCTGTGATGTGAAAGCAATAAAAGTTGGATAATTCTAAGTATGAGGACGTGTGCTCGAAGAGCATCTAAACCTCGTAGGAAGTTGCCTTTGTTGGCTAACAAAGATGAGGCATTTCCACTTCATCGTTCATCTACTAGGAATGAATGAAATTAAGTTCAGCATTATTTTTAGGAAATATCATTATCGGATGATAGCGATAGCGAGTATGAAGCGCTTTTAAGGCTTGATGTTAACCAAAATATCAATGATGTTGCCTCTGTTGCTGTTGCTGTTAATTCTGACATGCCAAGCACTTCTGACGCTGATTTTACGGTATATATTTCTGATGGATTTTGAATTTATTTACTTTACTGTTTAATCCTATAAGTTGTAGGTTTTTTGTTAACATTATCATATAATCTGCAGCTATATAGTCTTTACATATGTTGTAGTGACATGATCTTTACGTTTGATTGCGCTAGGAAGTTTTTCTGGTATCTTGGATGACGTGCAGCTTAATTAGAAGGGTTGTCTGTGATTGAAATTTATAACAACACTCTCAAACTCAAAACACATAGCATCTACAAACATCTTTATGTAAGAAGAGCAAGTAAGTTAAGTTGGAAAAAAATCATGCAACATATAGCAAAATCAAAATCAAGTTTACAATGATCATGTTGAAATAATTGAAATTTCAACAAATGTTATAAAAAGGTCGCCGGAATATGAAAATTCTAATCTGACCATGACATAAAATTACTGAATTGAACGATGAAACATGGAGATATTAAATAAATTTCAATAAAAACAGTTAAAGTTCATGAAAATACTTTAGAAAAAATTCTTACTGTGAAATACAAAGACTAACATTCAGCAAGAAAAACGTGTAAGCAAAAATGTTAATTGTTGTTTCAGGCAAGACGAGAAAAACTTTCTCAAATATATAGTTGCTCAATTGTGGGATGCAATTTCACGGCGTCAACATTGACTGATCTTGACGTTCATTTAGGGGAACATGAGTTACTTGATGAAGAACAGATCGTACAATATGAAAATTTTGGACAGGTTAGTGTTTCAGCTTTTGTGACTTCAATAATTGAAAAATAAACTGTTTTGGAGCAAGCAAGGAAGTAAGCATCATGGTTTGTCGCAGCCAAATTTGTCGTATTGTTTCTCGTATATCGTCAATTTTCACGTTGCTAATTTTCATTAAGGTTTTCTTCGGAGCAATAAAAATAATAAAAAAGTGATCGTTGTAACGAGATAGTGTAATTCGATGGCAGTGAATTGTACTTCAGGCGGAAAGTCCATATCCAAATAGTGAAGCTGTAGAAATTATTGACGAACTCAACCTTGCTCAACCGTTCAGGAAGCGGCAGAAGATAATAAGTTCGGATGATCATATTTTGTTAGCAGCAAGAGATAACGAAGTTGGATGCAAGGAGGTTTTTTTTTTCATTTTTTTGAAGTGATAAAGTTTGCAGGTAAGGTTGGGTAGGACAATAATAAATTAATCTAAATGTGCTGCAGAACACTGGGGTATCTTTACTTCCATTTCTCTATAATTTGAGCTTAACTTCGTCGACTGCATCAGGACTTTTTAGAAAAGATTTTCAGACTCTTCGTTGAAATTTTAGGATTGTTTCGAAAAATCAGACTTACCAACCGATATGCCGTCGGATGAAGGAGTTCAACGAAATCCGGAGAATTTACGGACCTCTATTCGAAGGCATTTACAGGTAAATTCATTCATGGCGAACAGTTCCTTTGTACGTATGGATATAATAACAAATCTTTTAAACAATTATGGCATCCTTTTATTTGCTTTCGGAAAGCTTTTCGCTATGGAACAGTTTTTCTTTACAATAGCAATTTTTTGTTGGTGCTGAATTATTCGGTATTCTTCATAGAATATTGAGCGCTCACTGGAAAATATTGGAATGATGCAACTTTTGGAAGTCGATGGATATTTGCTACGAATACAGCAGCAGTTACGCGATCAGTCATCCAACATGCGGTATTTCCATGGTGCTGGAGAATTATTACAGGGCACAGAACCTCCACAGAATGTTAGTTCATTTTTCTGGTATAGTATTCAGTCTTAGGCTTTCGTGTCAGTGGAATTAAATTGATTAGATTTTAAATTTACTGGAACTTTGTTTTACCTCTGCTAGTACAAATGTGATCATATAGCACTAATTTCGCACATGCTAAGAAACTGTAAGTATTATTATTTAATTCAATTTAGTTCTTCACTTTTTTCAGGCAGAGAATGATCATTAGTTTTGGCAGTTTAATAAGTATTTTGACATGTTGGCAGTTGATACAGTGCGCTTTGCAATATGTAAAAATTCAAGCATTAAATAATGGATTTTATTCGGAATCTTGCCATCTTGAGTTTTTAATTCCGGCAAGTGCAATTCATTCCCTTGATATTTTGTAATGATATATATATATATGTAGAGAGAGATAAATTGTATGTATATATACAGGATGTCTTAAAATCACAATAGCTAATCATTCCCAAAAATGCGTCAGTTTTTTTGAAAGTCTTTTGCTCACTATTGAAAGTGGTAACATATATTTAATAAAGATGAATGCTTCAAGATCTTGAGATGGAATTACAGAAACATTCGAGAAAGATGTTTTATCAATCGTTAAAGCAAAAAAACTCTTATATACATGATTTCTATAACAAAACATCAGTACATGATTTGGTTATTCCAGCAAAGGAGAAATGAAAGTAATTCGGCGTGAAGTACTCTACACACAAAACGGTCTCTGCAGCTGCAGAATGATAACACTATTGAAAGTGGTAACATATATTTAATAAAGATGAATGCTTCAAGATCTTGAGATGGAATTACAGAAAATCATGAATGAATTTCATAAATCATGAATGAATTTCATTTTGATCTTGAATCTTGATCTTGATCTTGATCTTGAATTGAGTACGTACACAACTGCCGGATATGTAATAAAACCAGTTCGAGAAGTTTCTTACTATTCAAATCTGCTAATAATTTTGTGATTCATACAAATGTAAGCAAATTTTGCAAAGGCACTGATGAAACAGTTTCAGACCACGAATGTCATAACACAATAGGAAAGGAATATCAACAACAGGTTAGTGCACACAAAATAACCAAAACAAAGAAAATCGACATCACTGATAGTGATTGCGTCGAAATCTCCATTAAATTCGCCGCATATCGCTTCTATCCCGCATTGTTCATCCCTGAGGTTCCTTGTGGCCCTCGTTGACCTTTCAATCCTTTCGGTCCTTTTTCTCCTCTGATACCTGGCTCACCTTGTTGACCTGGTGGTCCTGGTATCCCTCGTGGTCCTGGCAGACCATCTTCCCCTGGCATTCCTGGCTTTCCTTGAGGTCCTTCCCGTCCATCTCGCCCTGGTGGTCCTGGCAGTAATGCTTGCGATTCGCCTTCTGCTCCTTCTTCTCCTGATCCCATCAGTGGGCTGCAAGCCTAGAAATAAAATTTGCAAATAATTGGAATCATAACTTCAAACATATTTCTTCTAACTTAAAACAATCCATTAGAGAACTTACTTGGATCATGATAACAGTAAAAAAAACCAATATGAAAGCACTGAAAAGGTGCATTAATACTGACAACCTGAAATTGACTACATGTATAACGGCTGAGAATTTTTAGATTTTTTTCGAACGTTTAGATTTCCGATATTTGATATTTCTGTAAGAAAAAAGTATCCAAATAGAGGTATTTTGGATTTTTCAGAAGACCAGGTTCAACAGAAATTTTAGACGGATCAGAAGTATTTCTTATTTACAGTCCATCTTTAAAAAGGTTGCAATTGATATGTCGTAATTTAAAAAATCTACTAAAAATTTGTAGTATCGTCAAAAATGCGACAAAAGACTTTACTATTTAAAATTGAAAATTAGTAATGTTTCGACGGGAAACATTATACTTATATTGCAAAGTTGGATGCTTGATATGAATCATTCCAAAATTCATGAAACAAAGAAACATTTCAAGAATTCTTCGTAAATAATCATTATCGAATGCAAGAAAATGCAATCTTAAATGGTTATTGACGGTATCTGTGGGAGCTAAACGATTTAAGTGGACGGAAAGATTCGATTGGCTGATAGATGGACGATTGATGGATTAATCCGGGAGGTGGAAGGAAGAACAGGTTTGGAATCTTCGAGAAAGAGTAGTAAGTTGGCAATTTGCGTGATATCTGCTATTTACAAGTTATTTATTCCATAAAAATGCCTCAGAAAGTTTTAATTAAAGTTAAAGGTCTTTCACAAATTTAATGAAAGCTTAGCTGTCGGCTGCATTTGTTCGTTTTGTAAAATTTCACTCTAATTTGTTGCAACGTTTCCGACATATTTTTTTTCACACTTAGTCATTATGAAAGATTTTGGAGTCTTATTGCTTTTTATTAAACGCAAGCTAATAAGCTATCAGTATGTTTATCTGTTCACTAAAATATAATTATAATATTAATTCTCAACGCAGCGGAATGATAACTGCAACATCAGTCCTTCCATCGATGTTAAAGAATTGAGTTATTTTTACAGACGGTTTAACAACTTCCATTTTTTCCATAGATCGCATTTCGTTTGTGGACGATACTGCTGCTTCTTCACTTATACTCACATGCCTTGAAAACATTAATTTTTTTTTCAAATTGCAATGATTTGGAAAACTTAGTTTTCCCTGATGAAAAAATAAAATTTACAGTATTTGATATTTTGCAGGTTAGAGTGAGCGATAATCTTTCCCTTAAAAACAAACTGTGAGGGGCTTACTTGGGCTATAGAAACATCGCAGATGATCAATAAGAAAGTACCGAAAAGATGCATTGACAATCTGAAATTGATTTTGTGCATAGTGCCTAAAATTATCCAAATTTCCTTTAAAACTTTTAACTTGCTTAAATTTTATCAGGCACGGAAGAAAAAAACATCAAAGAAGTATTTAGGTCTCTTTAGAAACCATTTAGGTATCATTGGAAGATCGCCTCAAAATAGAAAAACCTTTCACAGATGAATTAATTAGTTGATTGGAATACATAAATTCTATCGAAAAATGACATTGTAGATATGTATGAAAAGATTTTGAGATTTAAATTGGAATTCAGCCCAACAAAATTCGAGGAGTAATCATATTCAGTTGTGGAATAGAATTTCAAAACAAAAATTCATTTGTAGTGCTTTATTGGCGGCTACGCAAGAAAAACATTCTCTATTATGGTAATGATCATTAAGCACTATTAGCCTGATTAAGTTTTGCCGATGTGTTTTTGAAGCTTTTGATGTTCAACCGAAATATTTTCGATTCTCGACCAATTTTCAAAATTTGTTCAGTTCTGAAGATTTTTTCCGTTACGACAATTTCTTACACCATAACTGTTCCTCACATCAAAAAACGAACTTGAGCTTAAGTTGAAGCTGCCAAAGCGAACGTAAGCGAGTGTCCAACAATTTGAGGAATTTCAGAAATTGTTGAAGAACAATTGATCTACAAATAATTGGCACCAGTTCAAAGGTTCTCAGAAATTCCTGCAAGACTGTAAATAACCGGCACTAATGATATATCACTTATGCTATTCGTTTCAAACCTGCTCTTCCATCCATCCTCCCAGATTGATCCAGCAACCGTTGATCTCCTATCAATCAACAGAATCTTCTTTCCATTCACTTTAAATCATCGCATGAAATGATCCATTTAGCATTTACAGATATCGCTATTAAATTTTTTATACTGCACCCTATGCGATCATTTCACGAAGAATTCTAAAATATTTCGTAAATTTCGGAATGATTCATGCCAAGTATTCTACTTCCTGATATAAATGAAAAGTTTCTTGTTGGAATGTGCTTCATTTAATTTAATTTAAGTCTTTCGACCTTCTCTTACTCATATCAAGTGACTTTTCTTTATTTTAATCTGGCATTAATAGTTGTTTATTGTTTCAAAAGTATTGCAATCATAAAATGGAATTTTAAAATTCTGACATATCACTTATGATTTGCTTCAGGGACTTGTATGCTATAAAATATAGTAGAATTTTTGGCACTGTTTCTCCTTTTTTATAAAACTTCGAGAAAATGAAATTTTAAAGGAAATTTCGGAAATTTTCAACTACCTACGATCAATACAATCAATTTCTGATTTTGTACCTTTTCAGACTAATACACCTTTTCAGCACTTTCTATTGGTCAATTGCGCTGTTTTTGTGGCTCAAGTAAGTTCCCCAATGAATTGTTTCTATGGTAAAGATTATGTCCCAATGTAACCCTTGTTAGGATACCAAATATGTATGAATATTTTCAGGCATGCATTCCATCGCAGATGAGAAACATGGAGCCAGGACCGCCAGGACCGGATGGGCCCGACGGAAAAGAGGGACCTGAAGGACCGAGAGGAATAAAAGGTCCTCGAGGAGACATGGGACCTGGAGAGCGAGGAGAGAGAGGGGCAAATGGAGTGCAAGGTCAAAGAGGTCCAGAGGAACCACAAGGTATCGAGGGACCAGTGGGAACAAAAGGACCAATGCTGCTGGTAGGTAGGAGCGGAATGTGAAATTTGTTGTAAATAACGAAGTTACGGCCTTTCCATTCGGTGATATCAGACCTCTTATTTTAGCTGTTTTTTTTTGCATTAATCTATCGTTGATGTGTTCTTACTTTTATGTCACAAAACTCATAGGCCTGAAATTGTTGTCGATGCCTTGACAAAATTTGATTATAAATATTGGAATATAAAAGTTAAAAATTTTATGGAGCAAAGCTTTGATATATTTTCAAACTGCAATTTATCTCGTGCAACATTTCCAAATATTTTTGATAAAATTTCTCGAATCGAACTTTCAGTTGGTTTTCTGAACTTAATGAAATTCTTTAAATGCTTCAAACACGTGTTTTAAAGTTCGAAACTATCTTAAACAATATCATGTTTCCAATTTTTACAAAACGGTCCTAAACGTTTCATGATAAAAATTACATACCGAGTTAGATGTTGCACTATCGGAAATATTAATTTTTAAACGACTAAAGATGGAAGGAACATTGAAGAATGAGTGGATAATGATCAGTAATGTTGGCCATAAGCTTATTTTAAGTGAAGCAGTCTGCAGAAGATGAATTGAAGTCATTGCATGTAAGTAAGGGATGAAAGGTGAATGCTTCAAGATCTTGGGATGAAATTACAGAAACATTCGAGAAAGATGTTTTATCAATCGTTAAAGCAAAAAAACTCTTATATACATGATTTCTGTAACAAAACATCAGTACATGATTTGGTTATTCCAGCAAAGGAGAAATGAAAGTAATTCGGCGTGAAGTACTCTACACACAAAACGGTCTCTGCAGCTGCGGAATGATAACATATTGATATTAGCAATTAATAATTATGGGCACATTACAGGAATATGTGCACTATTGGTGAACTGATAACGTCTAAGTGACATTAGTAGCTTCGTTGAATATATGTCAACATGATATATTTATACATATAACAAGAATTGCAGGGAATTTATTCAATATATGAATCAGATTGCGGCTGTTTGTACGGCGTGAGATCAAGTGTTAACATTCCAGAAACGGTATAACTGGATGGATGCGGGTAGATACCAATGATGGCATCAGCTTTATTATAAAATTCCTCTTTTAGTGATATGACGATTAGCTGCATGTCGACACGTGCACGCTCACAAATGAAATTTGCGACCTGAAATTTGTTATGTAACAAATTGATAACTTGCTACAAATATAAACTGAAGTAACCACTGCTGAGTTTTGATTTCGGACCATAACGGCTACGGCCAATCTTCCCTTCTAGCTTTTATGAAGTTGACAATTGCCCGATGTGGAATCATTCGACGACAAAAATATACTAGTAACATATGACAGGAGAAAAGTTTTTCGTACTTCACATATCTCGCAGCTTCTTGATTTATATTTAGAAAATCACACCTTGCCAATATTGGTATTATCTAATGCGGCGTCAACTTCATCCAAGATGAAAAACGGTGATGGACTACGAGCATGAATAGCGAAAAGTAACGCTAATGCTGCAACAGTCTTTTCACCACCACTTAAGTTATCCATTGGTCGAAAACGTTTACCAGGTGCTACACAATTGTACGCAATACCTTCAAGGTATGGCTCTTCCATATTTTCCTCGCCAAGGAATGCTTGTGCACTTTCATTGCGACTAAGCTTCTAAAAAGCGATAAACTAGAAAAGGAGAAAAATAAGATCTGGATTCCAAAATATTAATTAATTTCAACTTGCGAATTTTGTGAAAAAGTGGCATTGAAATTTCGATTAATCTTGCTAAATTCAGCGCACAAAGTCATGACCTATAATCAGGTCAAAAAGAAGGGATTACAATTCAATAATTTACAAAGCAATAAATTAACCTTGTAAATGTCATCAATTTTCTGCGAAACAGGTTCGAAGCATTCGTGAAATCGATGGTAGCGATCAGTCTTAACTTTTTCAAATAATAGACGAACCTTCCGCGCTTTTTTTCTGGCTAATTCACATTCTTCTGTTGTTTCGGCCTCCTTCTCTTTTACTATTTCCATTCTAGGAATGAACGAATGGTAAAGAAAACAAAATAATCATTCGATCCATTTTTGTTTAATAATCCAAGCAAAATTACTCATCAAGAATCGGCAGTTATATTAAGCCAAAATGAATATGTCTAGTATAAATTAAAATTTTTAATTTTTTTGGGATAAGTCCAGTATAAATTAAAATTTTAAGCTATGGACAATTAAAGAATATATTAAGCATATGCGCTTGTCTATGCTGCAAAGCAATACAAAATTAAGTTTAACGTGTTATATGTGAACGAACTTTGAGTAATACTGAAAGAAGTATTAATACTAATTTTGTCAACCTTTCTTTTGCTTTGAGATTCGGCGCACTGATCCGTGAAATTTTTGCCTGTGAATCACCAACTTCTTTGTTCAGTTTATCAAGTGCCTTCTTCACTTCATCATCGTTATCAAACTGAAATCAACGCTCTTAAATCTGCTCCAAAGAAAAACGAATTTCACATATTTTCTCACTTTGCTTTTCTCCATTTTCCCTATCTCCGCCGTCATTCTTATTATTTTTTCTCATTATTAGCCACTATTCACTGATACCCTCAACCTTCCATTTTTGCTCCCTTTAAGAAATAGTAATTTTTTAAGACAGTAACTTAATGAATAATTTTGATATCATCGAACAATGCAAATATTGCATTATTACATACCTCTCTGAGATTAATTGGAAGTATTCGATAATCCACTTGTATTTGTGCTTCACGATCCATTTGTTCGTGTGAGAGTTGTTGTGAATCACTCACACTTACACTTGCACCAGTAGTACCTAAATCAGATAATTTCATGATTGTGTTTCATATTTACAACACTCAAGCAGAAAATTAATTTCTAATTTCATTTCGACGACAACCTAATCATATATTGAATGGTTAAAAAGCAGTTGTTAATTGGCATTGTATGGTTTCGTTTTTTTTTGATAAATTTCCGATTTGATCAAACGAATAATACTAACAGCACACAATGAGAATATGATATCATCAATCTAAATGCACTGCTGCCGATAATGTCGGATATTAGATATGGAATTTTTTTTATTTCTTCGTAAAAAGAAAAGTGAAAAGAAACGGAAGGACATGATGAGAGAAGACACAGTTATTAATATTCATTTTTATGAGTTTTCTGCTAATTACTTCAGAATTATTGCCACAATGAATAACAAGCAATAGCATACAATTTTACGCGACCATGGCTATTTGCGGATATATTCAAACAGCCTCAACTATTCTTTATTCAGTCGCTAGTTGAACTGCTGATAATTTCAATAACCAAGTTACTGAAAAAAAACTACTTGAAGGAATGGTATCATCGATTTCAATATCGGCAAGAGATCCTCGAAGCAACGGCAATTTGATACCATTCATTTTACATTGATGTAGTAATGAGTGACGCTGATGACGTCGCCTCAAAATAGTTTGTTCCAGTGCCGTAGCTGTTTTCTCTGCTGCGGCAACCTACAGAATGATGCATTAAAATTGCAAATATATTATAAGTTGACCAAATCATAAAATAATCCCACCGCCAAATGCAGAATAATTTCTGCAAGAGTCAGGCAGCGATAATGATAAACTTTAATTACCTGATCAAAATCAGTAACTATTTTTGTCGAAAATTATTTCTACTATTCACAGTAACTGACTTTATAGCATTCTACAATAATTGCATTCTTGCAGTAATTACGTGTTTTTAATTAGTACCGATCCAAATCTAAATAGTTAGTTAATTAAACACAAAAACAAAGTGAATTTGGAACGATTACTTCACGTGCAGCCTGTTGTGCAGCTTTTTTGAGTACGCTTATTTCACCATCGCTGTCTTCCACCAGTGCTTTCTTCGAAACAATTGCCATTTTCATTTGTTCCAATTCAACCTCCAACTTCTTCAATGTCTAAAAATAGGACCGAAACGTTAATAAAAAACGCAAATTTGAATGATACTGCCGAGAAAAGAATTACTACCTTATGTTCTTCTTCCTCTTTCTTTTTTAAACCTTCAATTTCTTTCGTCAAACGTTTTACTTTTTCTGCTTCTTGCTTCTCTTTCACTGAAATACGAATTATGTCTCAGTCCCAAATATATCATTAAGAGATCACCTCAAATATAACTTGAAATCCTACAGTTAAGGAAAATTTCGTATGAGATTCAGACTGTGATTTTGCAAATTTAGAATAGTATATCTTATTGGAACACAAATTATCGCACTGTGAAACCGGATAATTATAATTATGTCACTACTTAGCATTTTTTTATAACGTCAACATAAGTTCATTCAAAAACAGCTGTAAAAAATTGCGTATTAAAATGTATTAAAAAAATCAAAAACATTACAAACGTATCAAAATCATTGCTTTATCCTACCACTTTAAAGCATTTTGTAAAAAAAGAAGAAAACGCGAAAAGATTACATCGCTTATCCTCTGATTTTAAATAGTCCAGTTCATTGCGCAAGCGATCCAATTCATTATCAAATTTCTTTAATTGGTCCTGCATTTCTTCATGAAAACGCATTTCACGTTGTTCATACTGACTGAAAAACACGAGACTTAAAAAAATGAGAACAAATTCTTCATCCAAGTTCATGCAAAATAGGTAAATTATTATTAGCCAACCAAAGAACTTCCAAATAAAAAGTAATCAAAGAAAATTGTGACTCATGTTGCATATTGGGATAATAAAAAGTGAAAGGTCTTCGTAACAAAGAAGGAATTAAAGATAAACGAGGTAACCATACCGAATATCTTTAATGTTTATGCGCTGGCAAAATTCGTGGAATACTTCATCGGTTATGACATTTCGTTTATGTTGCAATTTTTCAATTTGTATAATTCGTTCTGCCATTCTCTGTTGAATTTCATCTATTCGTGGCTAAAATTTCGCTTAAATCAGCTACCAGAATCAGTAAAATATCGACTTATTTGTTGCCAAAACCATTTAAAAGCTGCTTGTAACGATTTTCATTAATTGCTCATGATATGTTATTTAGCATTTGTTTTCACTCATTTAAAGAAGAAAATGTAGAGGCATTTGATAAGATGGAAAAAGCGATTCTATATAAGCATATAACCTATATTTAGTAATGCTTTCTTTTATGAATTAAATGAATGTTATTATTCAACAAAGTTATCTGTTTAAAAGAAGATTAAAAACGAAAACATTTTTACTGATATACTTCATCCCACATGAACACTGAATTGCTGATTCAAGACAGGAAGTAGAACTAGTAACTAAATAATTGATTGGAAAAAAATCGAAGCAATGAAAACAACGATACAACTTACTGGTATAATGCAGCACACATTACACCAGCATGTCAACGCAACGTGAGTTGATTGATCATCAAAATTTAGGCATTGAACGCTTGACTTAAATCAACTATTAATTTTAGATTGTACCCACTTGTATAAGCGAAAGTTCACTATTAAGCGTTTCAAGATCCTGCTCAAGCTTTTTAAGTGTCTGACTCGTTATCTTCGTATGATCATTCCGGGTACTTTTGAGACGATTTTCAAGATGAATCAGTTGATTTCGCTTCATTTCCACATCAAGTTCCTTTTTACGTGTTCGATGTAATTGTTGAAGCTCATCTTGCAATTTCATTCTATTCTCTTTCAGCTTCCTACAAGTATTTCTCTTCTTTTTATGAAAACTCGGATCAAAGAGATTATTCATTGCATTTAACTTAATAAAAATGCCGCGTTTTCTAAATGACATTATGCATGCTACAGTTCCTGTCAGCCTATTACTAAATTACTCGAGTCTATTATTGGAGTCCATAAGTCTATTACTAAATCACTCGAGCTTTGAAATAGGATGGTAATTAGAAAGGGAAAATATCGAGAAAATAAACCTGATAGCATTCTCATCCCATTTCTTGGCCCGTTGCCGTAGTTCTTGACCTCCTCCTGATATGATGCCGCTCCTTTCGAAGAGTGTTCCATCCAATGCTACCGCTTTGTATCGATCTGATGTACTTCCATAAGCCAAATATCTGTAATAAGCCAAAAGTATGTTCAAGACTCAAAATTTAATATGCAGCCCAACAATTTTATTTGTATTGCTTACATATGGAGCAAATAATAATAAGCGGAATTAGAAAAGTACTCAATTAAATCTCTAACTCTCCTTCCCTGCTCAATTTACGAATACATGAATTTAGAAATTAAAACGATCAAGTTTAAAAAGAAATAAAATAAAAAATATAAGTTCACTAATTACAGCACATAAAAAGTACATAAAAATGTATGGCTTGGTCAGTCCAACTGCTGCTGTCAGGTGAATAAACATGAATATAACAAGCAGTTATAAAAAATCTTGAATTAACTAAACAATTCTAAAATTCGGAAGTTGGAAAATATAATTGCAAACAATTACTTTGCGTCTTCAGGCGTTTCGCAGACAAGCGCGTTACCGCATGCAAACTGAAGGGCTTTTCGTGCAACAGGATTGTTGCACTGTATAACATCGAAAACCAATTTTACGCCGCGTGGCTCAGTTAGTTCTCTGAAATTCAAATTTTGAACATATATAATTTTTCTATTATAACCTCAAATGATGGCATGATTGAGTAAGGGATATAAGAAGGAATGCATAGGTGATAGCAACAGAGTGATTTAATTCACTCTACCAGATTGTTGAATTGCAGTGATCGCACTCAAAAATATACTGAAAAGTCTGGGTACCGCAATTTTTCTTTAATCGGATGAACATCCAGAACTGATAAAGGAAGAAATGTTTCCGGTGCGAGACGTTGTTCTTTCAAATAAACGATACTTTCTCGAGCTGTTTCATCTGTGTCACAAACAATAGACATCATATTTTTAGCTAATACCTGCAACAAAGCATTACTCTCAAATCACATTTTTTAATTAATTTATCTCACAACAACAATCTTAAATTGGTCGAAAAAAATCAAAACAAATTATCAACATCGAGTTCAATTTAGAAGCGTTTGTCGTTCAAATTTCCAGTGAATTGATATATCAGTAATTGCTGGCAAAAATTAACCTTAGTAATAGCAATCTGAAATCGTCGATGAGATGGTTGGCATAGGTCAACCAATCGGCCATAGACACGATCCGGAAAGATACGTTTTAAATTTTCGATGGTTTCATTTCGTTTCCTGTTTCGCTCTGATTCTGCCGTATCACCGTGTGCTTCTGATAGTTGTCGTGAGACATTATTTAATTCCGTCGTTACCTTTTCCAAACGTTCTTTCGATTCGCGCACCTGTAAATAATTTTCGATCCTTGAATTCTCGGAATCTTTTTTTCTATCTCTCTGTAGAGATAAATGATAATAAATGATAGATGAGTCAAATTTCTACTAACATAGCCATGCAGTGCAAAATTAGTGCAGATTAAACGATATGAAATGAAAAAAGTAAACATTCAATGCGGGAAAACATAAAACTTGGGAATATAAAAATTTTGAATTCAACTATTAAACAATTTTGGTTATTTGAAGCAATTTAAAATTCTACTCTTTGATTCTCAAAATAACATTTGATTACTTCATTGTCGCATAAGTCTTCCAACTTTATTATATTTATGAAATAAGATAATCGAAATAAGTCAACAAATGCAGCACAATATAATGGTATACCTGAACTTCAAGATTTTCTAAATTTTTTTTCTCGTCATCAATCAGATTAGTCTGTGATACGATGTTTTCTGCAAGCTGCTCTCCCTGACGCGACATACGTTCAATTTCCTGCTCCTTCTAAAAAATTTAAAGATTCTGATATCAGCAGATCTAACCGTTGCACCATAGCTCATATTTACATATTCGCTTCGATTTGTGGAGTTATCAAAATACTGTAGTATTAGACGGTAAAATTCAAAATTAGGCCAATCAAAAGATATTTGATTATTCCATGAATGCAATGCAGAAAAAACAAATTTCGCTTTCTCTAAAGCATATTTGTAGGAGAGACCAGCGAAACAGTGATTAGGCTAAAATAAATTTCATGAAAAACAAACGTTTTTAACGCGATCACTTGCATGAGCCAAACGTCTCTGCTCAAATTGCAAATTATTCTTTTCAGTTTCTTGTTCTTGTAACAATTTGTTAAGTTCCATATCTATAACACCGCATCGTTTGGTTGTTTCACCCTTCAGTTCGTAGTATTCGTTTACCTTCAATAAAACCATATCAAATACAGCGTACATACGCATACATATATACTGTACCTATATTTAAAGCGAATATAAATTTTCAGCAACTAAAAAAAATTCAGCTTTTTTATACGTTGTTCGTTGTACTTCGCGTCTTATTCACCGATATAAAAAGAAAAATCTTTCAGTGTTTTGGAACGTACAAGGAACTGAGATATGAACACAAGCTTAATACTACAAACTATTCTGGTCAAGCGTAATCCACATTGTTGACGGCCAAAAATAATTACCTGGGCATCACTTAGTTGCATTGCCAATTCTTGTGACTCACTAGCAAGCTTCGCTTCGCTTTCTTGCTTTTTCAGCTCAACTTCTCTAAAAAAGAATGATCTGTTATAGAAAAACCAAATTCAGGTATACAATAACCGCTATGATTTGAAAATTATAATTCCGTACTTGAGTTGTTGCTTCAGCGTGACTACATTGCTCTCATGGGCTTCAGCTGCTCGTTGGGCGGTAGAATGTGCTTTATTAGCCATTTCAAGCTTTGCTTTCACATGTACAACTCCCTGTTTAGCAGCAACATATCGTGGCTTCTGTGTCATTACTTCTTTCTCCTGAAAAGGAGCATAATTTCCAAGATCTATATGATATAAAGTATGCATAATCCCCATAAATTAACACTGCATATTAAAACTACGATAGCACAGTCGATTATATCAAATAAATAGATCATATCAAAAATCAAACATATTTCTTCAAGCATTATCAAATTTTCTGGTACCTCACCTCTGCCGCACATCTTATTTATCTTTATGGATAGAAAAAATATATTCTTTTATTCAGAAATAATAAGCATAACACAAGTGGAAAGTCTAACCTGAACACCCACCAACAACTTTTTAATGGACCTCAATTTCTTACCAAAAGGTTGCCGACGTCTGTTCATGACGAATGAAGGAAACACTAATTATAACGTTGTATCTACATATTTCGAAACACACCTTTCCAGATGTTTTATTTTCCAGTTTGTGAACTTCTTTCAAAACTTTTTTATGCTCATGTTGCTTCGCCGTCACGGCTGCATCACACTCTGCTTTTTTACTAATTAACTCGGCTACTATTTCTTTTTTACGTTTCCAATCACTTGTCGTTTCGTCTGCACTTTTTTCTGCATAAAATAGTTGCAGAAGATACACCTGACGTTGCTTCGATTCCTACAATTCAAATGTTATCAACTTTAACAATGGCTCTCAACAACAACAATAATTATGGAACTATCATGCATGCTAATTATTAAGCATATCTGAAACACAAACCAGCTCTTCTTTCAACATTTGATATTTTTCTGCTTCATCCTTCTCCAACTTAGCTTCACGTTTTTCTAGTGCAATTCCCCGCCGCTTGTTTAAATTAAACGCTGCTTCTTCTTCCGCTTTCGCCAAATCTGCTTTCAGACGATCATAATCTGCTTGAAATTCACATGATCTGAAAAATTATGTATTGACATGAAATTTTTCAACCATGGTACACATTACTCAAGACTTCCTTTAAGAAGTAGTTTATGTTTAAATTAGATACCCTACAAGATGATTTTACATTCAAATTCGAATAACTTGAGTTAGTGAAAACTGCGCATACAATATCGAAAAAACCGAACCGTGAAATTTCCTCGAACATTTGCGTTAACTCTCGTGGATTTTTCATTGCAACCTGTTCAACTTGTCCTTGATACACAAGAAAATTTTTCGCCTTCATAAATACATTTATTTCTTCCAATGCATGGCCGTACTGTTGTGGTGTAACAGTCTGTAATTATTCAAATGGAAGTTGTCCAGGAAAAAAATATATTCATTATAAGGTACAAGCATTTTTCCCTTCATACAACACAAGTCTACCTAACATTTTTTTCCTTATACAATGCAACTGTATTAAAAAATATGTGTAAGCAAGCATCAACATACAATTTTAAATGACACAATTAACTGGGAGTAAAAATAATGCAAGCACTATAACTTATTAAGTGCAAGTGATTACAAGTGATTTAATAGATCGAAAAAGTTTTTAGTAATAAAAAGTTAAATCAACTAAAACGCTGTGTAATACCTTGCCATCGACGCGATACTCTGAACCAGATCCAGTTACCAAACGTGTAAAAGCATGCGTGTTTCCATCGTCACCTTCATAATTCATTGTCACGTGGCAACGATTTGCTACTGCCTTACCCACCGGTGCGCCATGTATTAGATCCTGCAAAATTTGTAAAATTAATACTTGGAAAATTTTCAACAGCTAAATCTATTAGGAAAATCGATCAAGTGAGAACAATCTTATATCGAAGTAATCATAGTAATTGTTAATATTCTACTAACATGTAGCTTCTTTACTCGCAGATTACTTGCTTTTTCGCCAAGCACAAAACACATTGCATCCATCAAGTTCGATTTACCTAAAAAGCATTTTACAATCTTTTAACTGTCAGGATAAGTTGCAAATAATATATTCAAAATAAATTAATAAAGTGACACAAAAAGCATCTCATTTGTTAAATTCAATTTACTTTGACTGTTATTGGTAATGATTTATTCAATATGCAATAAATAGGATAAATAAAAAATAATGACTGCCAAAATGTTCCTATATGATGCTAATGTCTAATGAAGATCCGAGAAAACAATTAAATGTATGCTTCTTTTAACCTATTAACTTTCATTAATCCGATTGCAAAATTCTTAAACTCCCCAATAGTTGACTTCTGGAAGCCGAATACCACGAAAATAAAAATGCTAACATAGCTGTATGAATTTTGATGGAAAATCAGCTACCAGACTCATTTAGCAACCGACATGGCCATAGTTACTATGTAGTAACGATATCGAAGGAAAGGCCTACATATACAGTCGAAAAAATTGAAATACTAAGTTACCTGATCCATTAGGACCAATAATTGCTGTAAACTGCTTGAATGGTCCAACTATTTGATTTCCCTTGTAAGATTTAAAATTTTCCAGTTCCAAAGTGTGCAGTCGTCCCATAGCTACTAAAATGTAGCACGAAAATTCAAACCGAAGTTGTAATAAACAACGTGAACGATAATGATTCATTACAACATTCAAATATTTCCATTAATTTTTAAACGACCTATAAAATCTGGAGCCAAAAATTGCAGAGATTCAGAATTGCGATCATGATATCTGATCCAAAGAGTCATTAAATCCAGAAGTTCAAGAAGGAGGATCATGAGATTCAAGATCATAGACATGAAATCAGGTATTGTAAACTCATCAAAATTTAAATAAAATATATTCCTCTACTAATCAAATAAGACGTAACCATTAATGAATAAGCACTGTACATCACTTTCCATGTTCATAATTTATTGCCAATTCCGATAATTTTAAATCACCCCCAATCATTACCGCTTTACTTCTATTTTATAACCTACTCAGTCTCTAACATTTTACTCTCTGGCATGCGTCTCCTACAACTATTTCTGCATGTCTTGCCCATGTCAAAGAATAACCACCAAAATGGTCCGGTCTTCTGGATACAAACGTAAAATGTACTCATGATCCCGCAGAATTCTGATATGAATCTAATTTTTGCCAAATTTCCAAAAGGCTTTATACGTTCTTCGTAATTAACTATCTTAATTGTTGGGACAAGAAATTTGTTGAAATTGATGGATGACAATATGAGCTTTCGCATTTCCAAGCAAAAAGCAGAAAGCTTGCATTAGTTCAAACTAATGGAAAGCAGATGTTAACAGTGTAAATACAAGTAGAGGAACTGAATAGCAGGAAGATGTTTTATCAAATTATGCTTTTTATATCGTATTGGAAGAAGAATGTTTCGTTGCGTGGCTGTGTTAAACCTCAATTGCGCGTAATTAGTCCCATAAAATTTCTTTAGGTAATTCGTTTATTTCCTAATTAATTTGTGGTAGTTGTGAGGACTGTCATATCAAGTTGTGAGAAGTAGTAAATTTTATAGGTAATAATAGGAGTGGAGAATGGTAGATGAATTGAAATGGTTGAATTTATCGGATGATAAAGTGACTGAAACACGAAAAAATGGCCCACTTACTCAAAAGTTATCAAAAATTGTTGCTATTGCTAAAGATGAATTGAAGATTTCCGGACAAAATGATGCAGCCACTAAGCAACAGGTATATCTTATTTTATAGTATACCATAACTTTTATGGATATCTCGTATCATACATTGTGTTATTTGAAGAACTTAAATTTAGCAATAAAAAGCTTATAAAGCTTTTCGTGTGATAAATACTGAGTTTTGAGAAACCTTGATTCTATTGATTGCAGACAGAATGAAGACTGTCTTATTTGCGTGACGTTGAAAATTAGTCTGTGAATTTTCTCTTTTCATTTACGGAGTAATTTATTTAGTGAAATTCTGTTTCATACGGATTTTCTTTTAACTTTTGGCTTTTACGCAGTATCTAATATTGTTTAATTATTAGGGTACGTTATTATATCACGTGGGTACACGTTTGAAAGCTCAGTGCCAACAGCACACTCCACTAATTGTGCGTCATGTAATGAATGGGAATATTCGAACGGAACCACAACTTGTTGCAGCTATCGAATACCTGCTTAGTAATGCTATGAATGGAATAGATGAGAGGAAATTTCTGGATGCATCCGGTGTAGGTGTTGTTGTCACAGCCGAACAGATCCAAAATCAGGTACCACTCATGAAATATTGTCTTATCAAATCATTGTCTTTTTTAAGGCTGTCTTGAAATGCTAAGATTATTTCATTTTCATTCCCAATTTGTACGTCTGTTTGCTTTGGCAAACATTTTTTTCGTTGCTAGGCATTTTTTTTGCAAATGAAGTTTTATATATGCAATGTTGACAGAGTAGGAGCAACTGTCTATTTTGTAAGGAAGTCTCAGGAATATGGGAGTTAGAATTTCTTTGTTGTGGGGCTTTATTATTACCACAAATCAATTATCGCTGAGCTCTCAGGGCTGGAATTTGTCTCGGATGAACCTTTTTTTTCAGTTATTGTTGCTAAATGCTTTTCAGGTTAAAGAAGCAATCGAGAAATTCAAACCAGAAATTCTAAAACAGCGGTACAGCTTCAATACTGGAAAAATATTGGGTTTGTCAATCATAGGCCTTATGAAAAAAAATAAACATGCAAAGAAGGTGACATTTTAAAAATTCATGTAGATGGCGAGGACTTTCTTACAAAAGTTTTCGGCATATGTATGAATTTTTAAAAACGTCTTTTTTTGCACGTTTCTTTTTTCATAAGGTCCATGACTTACAATACGCTTCGCGATATTTATAACTATACAGTTCTTGATTTACAGTCCATAAAATTGTTCTGTAGTTTGGAAACCTTATTAACTTTTTTTAGGTGAAGTAAAGTCGAAACTGAAATGGGCAGACGGTTCAGCTGTGAAATGCGAAGTGGATCTTTGTATAATGCTCCTGTTGGGTCCAAAGACAATCGATGATCTTTATCTCAAAAAGGAAAAGGCATCTAAAAATAAACCAGAACATATTGCTATAGGTCGTTCGGATCCCATTATGTGTGAAGATACTGAATCGATTAGTACGCAGACAGGTAAATTTTTTTACTCATCTTCCTCCTCTTCCTCTATATTGTAAACCTCGGGAATTATTGTAACAGAATATTGCTTTAATTATATAGTGAGCCTTGCTCTTATCAGGTTTGATACCTTGCTGATTATTTTTTATGTAATGCTATAGGTTGCCCGGTTCCCTAATTAGATTGCTTATTGCTGAAAAATGCTATTCTCCTCCTTCACAGATTATCTATCTATTGTTTTCATTTACATCAAGCATCATTATAATGAAATATCATTGCTGGATATTACAGTTTGAAAAATTTACAGCTTTAAGAAATATACAAGTAAGGTTTAATATAATACACTGAATTATGAATTGGACTGTCTTCATATTTTCTACTATAATCACTATTCATTAAGTTGACTCAATAAAAATTATACGTAAATAGTCTTCAATATATAATTGAATAAAAGAAATAAAGTTGAATGCTGCATGCTTCGTTTGATGTTATGGCATAAGGTATTTAGATTTTATACTTTTCAGAAGAGGAAGCTGTCGACACCATCGAGGAGTTAATGCGAAAAAAGACGATTTTTCACAAAGTTAGTTTCATTTTCAACGTTATGTGCTTCGAAAAAAGAAATCCATAATGAATCAGGTATGTAATAACTTGATGTAGTGATAAGTTTTCATGTTTTATGCATTTCAGGTTGGGGAAAATTACAAAACAAGTGGTTATGTCATTACGCCAAACACTATGGAACTTTTGAGGAAACATGTAGAAGCTGTGAAGGGAAAAGTGATTTTTTTTTTTGAAATCATAATTTCTGTTATTTTTGGTTTGTTACATCTGTAGTATTCTCCGTGCTGTATTTTTTTTGTTAGAATTTTCGTAACATTTTAATTCCGATACTCGCTGATTCCAAAACATTTCAGTTAACCTTCCATTTTTTATTGTGGTTAGTATACATTGCAATGTATGCATTTCAGGTTGTCACTCGTTTCCCACCCGAACCAAATGGTATATTGCATATTGGACATGCAAAAGCAATAAATATCGATTTCGGTTATGCAAAAGTGATTCATTTTGTCGAATAAGTCAAAAATGCAATACAAAATATGGTGATCTTATAAGACCTTATAACTTATTCCTTATTTGTTGTAGGCGCATGACGGAATTTGTTATCTTCGATTTGATGACACAAATCCTGAAAAAGAGGAGGAAAAATTTACGAAAAGTATTATCGAGATGGTAGAATGGTTAGGTAGGAATTTATGAATCTAAGGCTTCTTTTTCTTTTAATGTCGGATTTTGTTAAATTTTTGAAGAATGTTTATTTTTTAGGCTATAAACCGTACAAAATTACGTATTCATCAGATTATTTTGATCAACTCTATGAGTGGGCAGTTGTTCTGATTAAGAAAGGCTTAGCATATGTTTGTCATCAAGCTGTTGATGAAATCCGTGGTTTTGAAGTGACCATGTCACCTTGGCGTAATCGCCCAGTGGCAGAATCTTTGCAACTTTTTGAGGTTATTTTATTTTATTCCTTTAAGTTGATATATATTAGGAATTAGAAGTCACCTGACGTGAAGTCATTAAATTTCAAGACATGGTGGCATATGAGATTTGCTTGTAATGTGCGACGCTTATTACCAAAGGGGAAAAAATGGGCTAGCTAAACATTTATTTGTTTTTATGTTTTTGCCAAACGCTTTCAAGCATTATTCTTTCGAAGGAATCTTACGAATGCTTGTTCGTATTTAATATGACTAGTGAAGTTTAATTGTTATCTTGCCAAAAGTTGTAAATTACAATTGTAGGATATGCGGCGCGGTAAATTCAATGAAGGAGAAGCAACGTTACGAATGAAAACTATTTTGGAGGAAGGTAAAGTGGATCCGATAGCTTATAGAATTAAATACTGTCGTCATCATCGCACTGGAAATAAATGGTTTGACTTATTTCTTAGTTCTTTGTAAGCTTTAATCTATTGATTTTAAGCTTTTGTTGCTTTATTGTGGAATTGTAAACGCTGAGTATATTATTTAGGTGTATTTATCCAACATACGATTTTACTCATTGTTTGTGCGATTCGTTAGAAAATATAACGCATTCTTTATGTACCAAAGAATTCCAATCTAGGTAAGTCATGCAGACTTCATTTATTTATACATTTATTTACATTTATCTATACTTTTTGTATTTGAAATTCTTCCATTTTCTTTCACTAATTTTTGATCAGTTTAATAATGTTCATATGATATTGAATACTGGATAATTTGCAGACGTAGCAGTTATTATTGGCTTTGCAGCAGTTTGGATATTTATTGTCCAGTGCAGTGGGAATACGGTCGTTTAAATATGAATTACTCTGTAGTCTCCAAACGGAAAATCAAATTATTGATTGATAATAAAATTGTGAGGTATGTTGACAAATTGCGCATTATTGTGTCACATAAAGACATTGCATTATATAATTATATTTTAAACATTTCAATTAATATCTTACATGATATCTTACATAAGCTTTTAGAAGATCGAAACTGCGTTTTAACCGTGTTTTTATAGATGACATAGCGTAATTAACATTTCTTTAATTTGTAGTGATTGGGATGATCCAAGATTGTTTACATTGACAGCACTCCGACGACGAGGTATTCCTCCAGAAGCAATCAATAATTTTGTCATAAAACTGGGACTTACCACAGCACAAGTTTTCATTGATCCGCAAGTTTTGGATGCTACCACACGTGATTATTTGAACAAAAGTGCGCCAAGGTATAACAGTTTTCCATCGATTTTCGATTTGAAATTGTTGTTTCGAGATATTCCAATACTTTCGTTAGTTTCCATTGAAAAATCTGTGTTGAATCATTGGAAGAGAAAGAAAATTGCATATGATTTTTACTCATATTATTCGTTTTCCAATGCAGATTTAAGGAAACAAAAAAATCTACCTAAATCAGTTTCAACATGAACCCTAATTTTTTTCTATTTCTCAAAATATAGTGAATTATCCTGTCATTTTGTTATTGCTGTAATTACTCAGAACAATGGCTGTATTGGATCCGTTGAAAGTAACAATTGAAAATTATGATGAATTATTATTGCCGTGCAGTTTATCAGTGCCAGATTTTCCACATGACGCAGATCGCAGTGAACAACAGCATATAATTGCTATGGATCGTGTTATTTTTATCGATAGATCAGATTATCGTGAGGTCAAATTCTTTTCAGTTAGAAGGCCGTCTGTAATTGTTTAGATAATTTTAAAAAAGTTATTTAAAATTTAAATAATTTTTACATGTCATCAAATATTTTATTGTGAATCTTGCAAGAGAAATGAAGAAAACTGTTTCTTGCAGGGTGAAAAAGCGAGTGATAATTTCCATCGACTGACAAAAAATAAATTAGTTGGTTTGAAATATCTCGGAGTCGTTATATCTCTTACAAGGGAATTAAGGGTATATTCTCATGCGAAATTTTTATTTTAGTTGTAATAGTCCAAAACCCCCTGCAAAAGCATTTGAAATCTTTTTACTGGGATTATGCTGTAAAATTTTTCTGTTCCATTGCTTAATTGTTGTAAATTGATGCTCGTGAAACTGTCATATCACAGTATATCGCTGTGATACAAATGTAGAAGTCTTGCATCAGACTATTCTCATTTTCATAAGTAACATGTTGCCATTACTGATTCACTTTATGTAATGAATGATTTTTTACTATATTCCATAATTTCGCAATTAGAGTTGTAATTTAATATTCCTTTCAGAACGAGAATAAAGAGATAACAGAGTTGACGGTGAAAGCGTCAAAACTTACTCACGAGAACAGACCAAAGGCATATTTGCATTGGGTGGCGAATCCAGCTCATTGTCAAGTTCGAATATACGAACGGCTGTAAGTTTTTCATTTATTTTATAGACTGATTTTTATAGGATGAATTTTTGGCAGAGTTTCATAACATTTTTACACAAAGATTATTGAGTGGCTCACTGAAATTAAAAAATTCGTTTAAATTCATGCTTTAGTTTTTTCTTATCATTTTGTTTCAGATTTCGACATAAAAACCCAGAAGAAGTTCCCACTGGCTTCATATCAGATTGTAATGAGGTATCCATGATATGTATAATTGTTTATAAATAATTAGAACTAGATTCTTTTTCATGGACTATATGATTCCAGAATAATAATTCAAAGGAATGTTTTCGAATTCTTACAAATTCGGATTTAAATCTATCCTGGTATTGAATAGTTCTTATTTCTCGGCTTTCAATATTTGATATTAGCCTTCATCCAACGTTAGTGTTTATTGTGAAGAGATAGGAGGGAATTTACTCCAAATGAGCGTTTCGTTTTTTTTTACGTTCCAACATGCTATGAAGTTAATCCATTCATTGAAGTCTGTTATTCTTTTCCATACGAAGAATCCGCTTCGAATGTGAACCCAGCAAGTCAACATTATATAAGAGATATAGCAAAAATTGTCTGACGTGGGATTATCTTAAACTCATTATAAAGTGGTAAAATCACATTCCCTTCTTTAATCTTTATCATGTTATTCAGAATTCGTTGCGCATTTTGGAACCAGTTTATATTGATAAATCGATTTCGAACTCGAAGGTCTATGATCGATATCAGTTTGAAAGAGTTGGATTTTTCTCCGTGGATCCAGACAGCACGTCTGATAAGGTAAGGCGACTATTATTTATTCAACTATGTTATATTTCAGACGCCTAAAGACAGAAGCTTTCTTTCCCTTGATTATGGTTAGAGTTTTTTATGTGTTTTAATGTCACAAATTTAATAGTTATTTTGCATGTGGAATGATTTGGTTCATGAAATTAGTGCCTCTATAGAATTATCAGACGGTGTATTAGATTATAAATAATTCAAATAAGCAGCCACATTTTATGGGAAAGATAAGGGCTCGTTATTCGGTAGAGGCATTAGAATAAAATTTGTCCAGTAAAACCAGTAAACAAGGAACCAATATGATCATTTGCTGTACTGTTTTGGTCAGAAATATGTGCTTATCCAGTTTTTTCGTATCCCATAATTCCCACCAAATCGATATGATTTGATGAGGAGTGCAGTTATATTATATGTCATTTCCATTTTTTCTTTTTGTTAATTTGAATGAAGTGAAAATATACATTTGAAAGGCAATCCACATAATGACCCACTGAGCTAATAATTTTAAAATGTTTTGATTGTTGCATCGTTCGAGTATTTCTTTGAAACATGTTTATTGCATTCCTATAATTTTAATATCTCTTTCAGCTTATATTTAATCGTGTGGTGGATTTGAAGGAAGACAGCGTAAAGAAGCAATTGTGATTCTGGGAGAATAAAAATAATTCCTAGCTTCATTATCGTTTATTTATATTTTGAGAAGTTTAACTCTGTGTCTTTTGGCAATTTATTTATTTTTTTGTAAAAAAGAAAAAGGAGAATATGAAGTCATGAAAATTAAATGCATTTAATTGTCTTTTATCTTACTGAGGAAAATATCCATTTGTCTTCGTTGTTGATCTTGTTGGAATTTTTCTAATGTTTACTACATGCTCCTAGATGTTGTTGTTATTGTTTTTGTTTTATACTTTACGGGAATTTTGAAGAAAAGAGACGGTATTATTAGATATTATTAAGAAGGTCAATTTTGTGAATTATAAATGATGTATGTGCAGTGCCTCTTCACAATGTCGCTTGATATATATTTTTTCATCTTTCTAATAATTCAAGAGGAAATTTTTTCGATTTTGTTTTACTAAAACGATACCAAAGATTATTTCATTAGGCACATTTTTATGCAGTTATATATGGTTGTTAATAAAATAAAGCATGAAAAAGATAAAAATTGCTAATCGCTGCTGAGGGATATCAGATAATAATGGAATAAAATGGATTTTTTCCAATTTTTTTTAATCCAAGAAATTGGGATATCTTTCGTTGGATTCTCCAACCATTTTTTTGCTTTTAGTGAAAGGCTGGTTTAGCATATAGTGCTGACTAAGTCAGCTAGTTTCACAGTTTAATTGTGAGGGAGATTTATTACAACAGTATATAAGGAAGGTATTAACTGAGAGAGTTACACTTCACGTGAGTAATGATGGTGAAACGTCTACGAAGGTCGCAATAGTTATCCGAACTTTTCGTCTCTTTCATTTAAGCATTAGGTACGGGAATTTTCCTCTGAATTTGCTGTTGAAAAGTGCGTACGGATAACTATTGTTTATTATCAAATCTTTTTGTTTTTCGTGGAACTAAATGTTTTTCGGATAAGCTGGATGGATTTCAATATTTCGTTGAGAAAAAGATGAGAAGTCTGAGTGGTTGTTGGATCTTTAATATTTGTACAACTTCTAATCATTGCCATTATCATCTTTAGTTATGCTGAAACTTTGGAACCCTTTACGCTGTCTATTTGAGTCTTTTGAACAGAAAGCACAGTATGTACACTTGCGTATGATAAAAAAACAATTGTGGACAAAGGCTATCCAATCGAATCTATCAATCGCCAGGTTTCGTTTCCTTGTTACATTGTGTTCTCAAGAGACAAAATGTCATGGTTATAGCGTTTATTATATGCAAATTTAATTTTGAAAGTTTTATAAAGTGAAGAAACTACATAATTTTGGGAGAAAAAGTCGATCCTTTAGGGTTGTGCAGTCAACTAAATGTTTTGCGGATGCAACCAACCCACTGCCACCAAACATTGATTCAACAACCGTGGTACGAAAACCGACCCGAAGACGTAGACCATTAACTTCAGTTTATGATTCGACGGTATGAATCAATAATTTTACCAGTTAATTTTTAGTAGATAAGCGAAGATTGTGCGGAATTTTTCTCCTATTTGAAAAGTGGAGAATGCCAAAATATATCAAGTAAAACGTTTTAATAACTACAAGGCTAGGAATTTTTATCCCTTTACTTGATTATAACAAATAAAGCTGATCGTTTGTCGACTTTATACGAATTGTTTCCTTGCACAGAAACCATCAAATATTGAAACGTTAAGATGCGCTTTCCTGGTGTATTTCCTACTGTTTGTTGCGTGTTTCAGTATCCAAGAGGACCGGAAATCATTGGCGTAGCAATGGCGGAATCCTTCAGATTGATTGATTTACTCGACGATGAACATTTGTTTTGCTTGTATAACTGTACGCATATTGATGAGGGTATATTTAATTTTATGTTCAACAAATATAATAGAAATAATTGAAATTAATCAGCATAATTCTGTTTCAATTAATTCCATCGCAATAATCAAATCGTACCTTGCTTTTACTTTACTGAGTGTCATTGTTACTAAGAATTTTATCCATCATGTTAGCGGTTGAAATGATCACATTTTCAATTTTCATTTTAATCTTGTTTTCTTTTTTGTGCATAATCAGCTAATTAGTTCTGATGAACTGGAATTCTCCAAATTTATTTCATGCTACTTATATTAATTAAGCATTATTGAGCACGTTCATGACAAATCAAAAAATTACTGTAAACATTAGTTGTCATTAAAAAATCGTTATGAGTATTTAAAAAAATCTTCGTAAGCATTATCATATTTGTTGATTTGTTATGAACCAAAATTTAACTGATTATACTTTTTGACGTATTTGTTTTAGCCTATGGAGATCAACGAATTGAAGCTTGAGAATAAAACATCTGTGTAAAATTCATTGCATTTATCCGTAGAGATTTAAAAGTTGCTTTTTTTCCCAGAAATTGATGATGGTTTACACTTCGTACCAAAACCACAATATATTATTGATCAGAACGCAATCAAAGAATTTTTTCTGTTTGCCGATGGTGTTGTTGTCTTTTGGGGTATTAATCATATTGAGGTAATTGTTTGTTTTTCCTCTTTTCAAGTTATTATCATTATCATTATGAAATAATCGCTTTGTATTAACGAGGAAGTCATTGTAACGAATAATAATCGTCAAAAAACGTGGATTTAACGTTGTCAATCCTATGTGATTGTTAGTGAAAAGTGATGATCATCAGTTTTCTTATTCTACATTAGAGCACATCATGTGTGCGATTTAAAGCATAAGATTTCTTTTTATTTAGGTAGGATAATAGGGAAAATCAAGTGATACTATCAAAAAATTGATGTTATTAAATAAAAGAGATGGGAAGAAAAATTAAACTTACGGATATGCTTCTTTCAGAAAGATAAGAAGTCAAGGAATATTTTTGAAACTTTTAAGTGACTTCTACTGATAATTAAACATTTTTGACTCATGAAATGTTGCTTAAATTTCGAAGCTTTTTTTGAATTGCAGCGTAGCCAGATAATGGATATTTTGTCTCAGTATGCTGAATTACCATTTGAATCATCAGTTATTCTAGAAGAAACTGATACCTTATCATTTCGTATGGTGAAAGAGTAAGGAAATCTATAGAAATTTATATAGTTTTTGAAATAGTGTTAAATTAACCTATCTTGTCCTTAATTGCCTTGAGTTCGTGCATATCATTATTTATCAGTATTATTAGTTGTTGGAATGTATTATTCACCCTTGAATTCGTATTACATATCCCGTATATGAATTTGTATGTATTGTTTTTTTTTATTGAATTAAGGAATCCAAGAAATAGACATGAAACACTAATTTCTTTTTAAGAGGTGAAACACGGATGAAAGGTGAACAATTATTGCTTAATTTTACCAATTATTTGGACGGGCATTTTTCGTCATTAGCAACTTTGGAGCGGTTTGCTTTTTCGCATGGAATGGCTGCATCAGGTTAATTGGTATTTATAAGTCTTTTTTCGGTCATGGTACTGAAGAAAAGACGATGAATGAAGATGATTAAAATGATTGAAATTCGTTAACATATATGTAATGAAGACGTGAATTAGATGAAATCTGTCTTAAAATATGAGGCATATTATTATTTTATTAATAATCGTAGAATTGGGAGCAATATTACAAGGTTTAAATGATGTTGATAGTATCAAACGATATTGATAGTATCAATTTCATGGGCGAATTTTCGAAAAAAAAGCAGGTTTTTTCATTTTTTGTTTAAAAATTCGTTGGTTTCGAGCATTAGAGATTGAAATTTTTTCTCCCGGTTATTAGGAACAACTTTTCCAAATGAAGTCTGAATGTGAGTTTCAGTGAAAGTTGCAATATGGGAATCGCAGTTGTTGGAATATGCTGAACCGCTCGCAAAAGCTTCAAAAGGACTCAGTACTGGTAAGATTCCTTTGAAGCGAAAAAGTGTACTGATGCAAACTGGTACTTTATTATCACTTAGGTGAGTTAGTCATTTTTTCTATCATTTGAAATCTTTCCTCTTATGTTATCCTAAGCTGATACCTATATTAATGTTAATGTGTGCTGTCTTACCTTGCTGTTAATCTTCCTGGACAACAGATACGTATGATTATTTGCACTGATTATTTTATTTTCATTTTGTTCTGAATTGTGATTGATTCAGATGGGTACAGTTTTCTTATTGTCAAGTAAATTTTATTACATTCTATCACTATTTCTATTCCATTGCTTTATTTATCTATAGATTTCAAGAAGAAGATTGTTCCTGCTTTTTTAGTTCTTTTTGTTATTTGCTCGAACACATACTCTTACTTCTACTTTTAGTTAATTTTCAACTTTAAGACTATTAAACAACTCAATTAATTTAAATTACTGCACTTGCGAATATTTTTACTGGTATCTTATTTTCTATTATTTATAGACATTCAATTAATTTAAATACGAATTTGATCGATTCCGACTTCTATTGGGAGAAGCAGGATTTGGAGCCATATTATAGAATGGCTTTAAAACATTTCGCCGTTGCCAGCCGACGAAGGTATATGAATCAATTAGTTTTTACTCTTGCTGAGATCTTTTCTTTTTTTGCTCCTTTCGAAGTTTCGAAACATTGTTTTGGAATTCGCTTTTTATAAGTTTGAATGAAACGACTGTTTTTTCAGGATGTTAAATGCACAATTAGATTATTGCAGTGAAATATTGAAAATAGTGGACGGTATGCAGACTCATAATTGCGTGTGTTTTTTTCTGAATTTTCTTGACAAGTTAAATTTAGTTTTCGTGATGATGATGATAACGATAAATGATAATGATGCATAACGATAAATAATAATGATACCTGCATCTTACTTCTCTCTTCCTTAGTATTTGCGGTTAGCATAAATTGAGATAGTCTTTATCAAATAATCGGTATTAGTAGTCGAAAGGATTGGGATTGTTCAACATAGAAGTACTAATTTAGCTTTTCATAAATATTCAGGTTGATAGTTCTCAATAATTTATAACTAAGGAAAGTTTTCTATTGAATAACTGTTTTCCTCAACCAATTCTCTGTCACATTCTGAAATTTCTCATTTTTTAATGATTCTGTATATTTTTAAAAGCAAAAAATTCTCTCCATTATTATGTTGCTTTTATTGTGTTGGATGAGTTCGAATTTTAAAACAGTTGACTTTCTGAAAAAAAAATCCCTAACTCCCTAACTTTCCTAACTTTGCGATATATAATTATGTAATCTTAAAACTTCAGGAAGCACGACTGGAATGGATGATTATTTGCCTTATTGTTATCGAAGTATTCTTCGCGATAATCGATCATTTTGGATTTAATTTGGGTCCACCGCAAAAGGTCCTCATAGATAATTGTCAAGAATTGGTAAGCGGTATCAATGAAGCAGTCCGAAAACGTCAATGATTAGCGTGCAATTTTCTTTCTCTCTATCTTTTCGGACTGTTATTATATATTGTGATAATCTATAGTAATTAATTTCTTCGTAGTTGTTGCTGATTTTTAGTAATTTTTTCACAAGTTTTTTACCACGTCCTAAATAATTAGTTGTACAATCTGTTTAATGGTATTATCATAATTGAGTGGTATTCCCTTGCTAATGATATTATCATAATTTGTGAAGTTGTCGGAACTATGTTTTAAATTTTTTTTGATTTCAAAGCCTGGTTTTTTGAATGAATTTTTGTAGATTCTAATTCATATTTGTTGTTCTAGCACAATTAATCATTTCGTACAGTAACATATTATAGCTATCGTAAGTTAACACACTTTGTTATAGTATCGTGTTCTGTTATGATGAATTGTTTTCAACAAAAGTTCAAATTTCATAGTTTTTTTTTACGTGGTGGATGTGTAATATTTCACGTGTTGCATATAATAGGTTTTGTTATTAAGAACAAATGCAAATTTCTTTTAATTACGAGTTATATGTTTATGAATAATTTTTGTAAAAGTACTTCTTAGTTGTATCAAATAACTTTCTTCTCTATTTTGTCAATTATTTTTTCATTCTTAGGTACGAAACAATTTGTGTTATTTAGTACAGTACGCTTTTCCATTTCATTTATAATAAGTGAAAAGTTAACCGATTGAATCATTCGTTCTTCTGTCCTTTTCGGATGTTGCACCTTTACACTTCCTCTTTCCTTCATTTTTCTTCTCCATTTTACAAGTTTGATAAATTCTCTTTCAATTTTTCAAACGGTAATTTGGAAAAGAACTCTACATCCGAATGACTTTCGCTTCAATATGATTCTGATAGTAAATGACGATGAAGATGATAATTTTCACCATTGACAGAAAAAAATAATCATTTTGATTGTCGCTTATTATCACAATTACATTATTTTATTTCTCATTACCATTATAATTAAAATTTTTCAAGATCCTCCGAAAAATTTTACCCCAATTTTTACTTCTACAACGTTTTACTTCTTACTTCTGGAAGCTACTAATGTTGTGGGTTCAGATATTCAATATTTTCAAATATTAGTAATTAAAACTAATAGTTTCTCTTCGATTAGTTCCTCTAGTAGGAAGGAAGTTATCATTATCATCGTCATTAATCACTAATATCATTTATTAACACAACTACTACAGTTGTTCTTGCTACCATCATTATTACTATTATTTGCGGGTACCAAAATTATAAATCATCATTTTCATTATCATTCCATCATCCTTATCATAATTATAATTCAATCGAGAGATAAAATAAGGGGAAAAGCAAGAAATGAAAAGAAAATCCTTTAACATAGGCAGTTTTATTTGTAACGAAGTGTTTATACATTTGATGAAGATTCTTCAAGTTGGAGAATAATATAAGGGAAGGAATATAGGAGAGGCAACATTATGCGTAAATGATCTGATTATCACTGAGAGAGGGAGAGAGATGATTTGATAGAAGTAGAAATATATGATAGAAAGAAAAGGGATAAAATAATGAAGAAGGAAAGAGAATGGGTATATGGCTTAGAAAAAGAGTGGAAGGGGAGAGAAATTCGAAGAGAATTATATTTTATTCATTCATGATACAAAAGCTTCCATTTTATTTTTGCAACAATTTTACTATCGCATGTTTCTACTTCTATCAAATCATCTCTCTCAGTGATAATCAAATCATTAACACATAATGTCGCTTCTATTATCATATCATTATATCATCATTATTATTAGCACATGTTCATACCATTAGTATCATCATAATGGTTATCATTATTACCATTTCATCATCCACTATTTTAGTTGAATATGTAACTTGCACCTTATCTGATATTTCGGATTAAGGATGCAGGATGCTTGTTGTTTACATCATATTAAATTATTATGTCTCAATAATCATCGCATCGAATTACTTCTTATCTCTTATCACTGTTATAATTGTTTTCTACTAAATGTATTTATTACTGTTACCGATTATTGAACAATAAGCAAATTTTAATTGATTAAACTGTTGTGATTAATTGGTAAACGAACATCCGAAAAATTGGATTAGTTGTGGAACGAAAATCGATAGCAATTGAATTGAAATAAATGTGAATTATTTCATACAATTAAGGAATATTATTAAGTACTCCTTTGTTTTTAAACTATCCTTTTCTTTACTATTCCCATAACTGATAAATAAGAAATGGCGTCCTTTTTTGTTCTATTAATTCATTATTTTATTATGAGTAATTTATAATATTTAGGTAATTCAGTATAACAATATCATTTATTGAAGTAAGTAAGGAATATTATTATGTGCTCCTAATTAATACAATTTAATCATTATTAAATACGATTTATTTATTAAATAATATTAAATATAAATCGTCAAATACAATTAAATGTTTATGGATAGGGATATTCAACTAATGCATACAGAACTTCAATTTTCAAACTTTATAATGATTGCATATTTTCTAGGAACGAAAGAGGGAAGAGAGAGAGAGTGTGTGTGTGTGTGTGTGTGTGTGTAATAAAAGTTGGATGGAAATCCTTTTGTAAATAAATATAAGGCAAGTTTTACCTTTCTTTTGATGCAAAACACACACATGCATATACATATATGCGATCGATCATAAATCCAGTTTTTTGGTGAAGCACAAATAAGAGCTTTTGAAGAGGAATAGTAATGGCACCCTTTCTTCACCTCTTTCTAACTGCTTCCAGACTATATACATTAACTTCTAATTGAAATTCAACTTAATTTTAATTTAATAAATACTTCAGTAATGATTTATTTGTCCATTTCCCCATCGATTAATCATAGGAAGATTGAAAACAAATGATCTTAATGAAATTTTAATTCTATTTAGTTCTTATTGAAATTAGTGATTTTTGATTGGCATTGAATTTCAGTTGATTTTAAAATGAAAATATATTATTAAGTAAGATAATAGAAATAGGAGATAAAATGTGGGAAGAGGACAAAAAAATAAAAGGAAGAAATTCATTACATTAAATCTTTCACTCATTCTAAAATTTCATCAATTTATCCATTTCTAATTCCATTGGGAAATGATCCTTTAATTAATAATATTAAATTGCTTATTTTCTTATTGCTCAAATTGCTTATTGCTTATTTTCTTATTGCTTATTTTCTTATTGCTCAAATTGCTTATTTCTTATTTTCAAATTTCTTCATCCATCCATTCTTTCTTCATTGTTCTTTTTATTTCACTCTGTTAAAAATACAACAAACATTTCTCAAATATAATATTTTCAATTCTTTAATTTAAGTTTGTACTTCTTTTTTTTCACTTCCAAATTTTAATTCTTTGATAGATTGTTTGTATATATATATATATATATATATTAATGTAAAATTGAAATTAAAATTAATTGTTCTTAATTATTCAACATGAATGCTTGCTAAAAAAGATGAAATTGAATGTATTTAAATGAAAGATACGGTAAGCTAAAGAGTAGTATTGTTGTTGAGAAAATGGAAATTTACAGTGAAATGATTTAAATTATTTTAATTAATCCAAAAATAATTTTTTTCGATTAAAATAACTCTTTTATTTTGTCATTCTCAAAATGGCTGCCAACAAATATATGCTCGGTTATTAATTGAAATTCGAAATAGTTTTCAGATTCAGAAAAAAAGTATCAAAGTATACAAAATAAGCAAATGAGAAGAAGCTTATAAATTTTGCATATTATGCAAGTTGAAAATTTGTTGTGTTTCTGAATTAATTAATTAATTAAAGATTTAAATATTTATATGAAAATTTCAGCATTATTCTTTTTTGATATGATTTTCCTTCAGTTATATACCTATCACACAATACTTTTTGTTATTTATCATTTGTACAAGAAAGGAAGGAAGAGAGAGAATCAGATCCTTATCATTAGGCTTTCAACAGTCAATACTTTCTTTTCTAAAAAGCACAAAATTCATTTGTACTGTGTACCAAAATTGTCTAATGATTACAAATTTCTCTCTCTCTCTCTCTCTCTCTTTCTTTCTCTCTCTCTCTCTCTTTCTCACTTTCATTTTTATATTTACAAAAAATATTTTCTTCGAATTGTTCTTTTTAAGCTGACAATTCATTTTAATTACAATGTTCAATTTTTATGAATTAAATTAAACTGATTCAAATGAGAAATCAATGATTCATGTTAGGAAATTGAAAATTAACTTTATAATATAAAAATATGTTAAATAATCAACGTATCTTTTATCAACGCTCTTCTTCTTCTTTGTTTTATCGAAATCCTTTGCCTCAAAAATTCTCAGTGAAATGATTCGATATGATTTGCTTAATATCTTAATTCGTTATTTTAGGGAGTATCATAAATAACTCCGCTTTTACCATCGGCTTCATCTATTATGTGTCCAAATAACTCTTTGCTTAATTATCAGTTTTATTGTCTCTTTCTATTATAAACGATTACCGTTAATGATTTATACCCAATGACTTCGTGTTTATCATTAATTAGTCTCTCATATCAAATGACCTTATCATTCTTTTTTTGTACTGTTAATTCGTCTGCAAAGTGATTAAATTAGTTATTTACTATAAACAATGCTTATAAAGCACCGCCCATCTGGAAAGGCAACTTACTGCTCTCAAATCAAGCAGTCTTCCCATCTATATTTATCTGAACCAATTCCTCAACGAAGAGTTCCAAATTATTCTCTCCGATCAACGGTAAAGAAAAATAACCAAGTCATCGATTCAATTGATTATTTCCTGATAATTGCATTATAATGTTAGGAAGCATAAACTTATCTTTCACCACGAATAAACCTTCCAAACAATCTTTATCGTCGAGACAACTTCTCAAAACTTTTACCACAATCCATTCATTTTTAAAATTCATGGAATTTTAGTTAACTTATTAAATATTAATTTTGAATGGCATTCATTTCTGCTTGGTTTTTTCAAAGATTATGATAAATTTTATGTCATGATCTTTGAAATTTTGAGAAAAGAATGTTGCACACATTATTCTTCCATTTTAACTTCATTATGTAATTTGATTTGTTTAATTTTAGAAATTATTATATAATTAGTCGTAAAAATATATTAATGATTGAAGCCTACCTAATACTATATATTGTTTCTTTCCACTCCACTCTTCTTAGGTTAATTAATTTCTCCTTTTATTCCTATTAATTCGCTGATAAATTACCTGAAATTATCAAGATACTTCAAGTGGAATGTCAATGTTGAATTTATTTCACTTTTTTCAACCCTTTAATACGATATGCATTCTATCAAATTTTAGTCACTTAAATTTATTTACTTCTTTCAATTTTAATTTTTGGATTAAACCATCTATAATTAATTAGCAGAATGCATTTGTTTTTTATTGTCACAGATAGTTCAAAAATTTCTTCCGCCTTTTCAGAATTTCCTTATTTAAATCGAAATTGATTAATCTGCGGAACACCTTTACAAAATTACATCTGCGGAACACCTTTACAAAATTACATATTGCATACCAGAAATGTTACCACAATTTCGCCGGTATTTTATTCCAGCTTATTCACATCTATCATCTACTATCACATTACGTGAAAAACTTCCGTCGGCTATCCTTCGCCATTTCAGTTCTGTATTAGATTTCCGCATTAATGAATTTACTGAGAAATATTTAAGTCATCGGAAGGTTTGTCTTATGATTTTCATATAAAATAAGGTGTTTCTAAGTTATCGTATCTGTCATAGTAGTGCGCATTTGTCACATCTAAAGTTCATGAAATCAAATCATTTCCAATTTAACTCACTTTAAGGTAGACAATTACTTCGGAAACCTTTAGTTTCAAATTCTAATAATTAAAAGAAAGAATTTTTTGTGATTCGTCATTGACAGCTATCTGAAAGAATATGTTTGAGAGGAAAAGTTCGAAAAAGTTGTTTAGAAATTAAGTAATTTATCTTACTCATTAATCCAAAAAAAAAATGGAATTTAAGATTTAAAAATAATATTTATTCCTTTTTAGGCTGAATTTACTGAAAAATTAGAAATTTTTTCACCCAATCAACAACCAACAATTCCAATATACCGTGTAACCAATTCCGAAGGACAAATTATTGATCCAAATTATGATCTCGATTTGACTCAAGTAAAATTTTAATGCAGCCACTAACAGATGGATAAAACTAAATTAATAGATTTTTAATTGTTTTATCAAATGCTCACTAAAAATTGCAGAATCTTTCGATGGTTTCATTTCATTTCGTAATTGGAGTAAAATTAAAAAGTCTAATGAAATTCAACTTTCAACTATTGACAAATATCAAAAGAAACCGATGACAAATTTTGTAACATAAGTGAGGAAATTAATCTCTAATTTTCGTTAATTGCAATTAATTGCTGTATATTATTTGTATATTAGTTGGAATTTTATCAGCTGATAATTAAATCTTCATCATTTTTGAAGGAATTGGCAGTAAAAATATATAAAAATATGGTAACACTTCAACAGATGGATAAAATTTTATATGATTCACAACGTCAAGGGCGCATTTCATTTTATCTGACGAGTACCGGTGAAGAGGTTCATCTCTTTTTATTCTCTTATTAGCATTAATTAATAAGTGATAAGTGATAGTTAAAAATTCGATCTTTAAATCTTTGAATTTTTTTTATAAAAAGTCGGCAATATGATTTTGCATGATTTTACAATTGAAATAATGGATAATTATTAAAACATTCCATTCAAAATATCATTTCATCGAAAAGTTAAAATTTTGAAAAATTTTCAATCATTTCTTTTTTCACAGAAAATAAAACAAAAGAGAAACTAAGAAGAGGTTTTCGTGCTAATTTTAAAATGTTTTAATTTTTACAAATTGTATTTTAAGGCTACTCAGATCGGTTCAGCGGCAGGTCTTCATGATGATGACCTGATGTATGGCCAGTATCGGGAAGCTGGCGCATTGCTTTATCGAGGCTTTCTTTTAGAAAATTTTATGCATCAATGTTATGGAAATGCTAAAGATATCGGTAAATTTTACAACTAGAAGCTGAGGAATAAATAAAAATTAGCATATTAAGGTTTATTATTCATTGTAAGTCTTAGTAAAATAATCAAATAATAATATTCTTTTATTTCAGATTTGCAGTAGACATTTAAAGAATTAATTAAGCGTTACTTTAAGATTAAGATTAATTTAAGATTAATTATTTCAAGCCAAATTTTTTAACTGAAAATATAAATATTTTCCTGCTGAGATGAATAGTATGTAAATGTTTAAAGAAAATGTTTGAAGGGAAAATGTCTCTTTTCTAACTTAACTTTTTGTATGTTTTACTAGCCATTTCTAGCTATATTATCTATTCAAGAAGTTTTTAAAAATGCATGAATTTTTGTTTTGTTTTAGGTGGTGGAAAACAAATGCCAATACATTATGGCTCAACGGAACATCATTATGTGACAATATCATCTCCACTGGCTACACAATTACCGCAAGCTGTTGGTTCTGCTTATGCATTTAAAAGGTCCAGTAAAATGTTACAATAGATTAATTTATATAATTTAAAAAATTTAATTAGTTTAAATTGTAATTTTAAATGATAAAATGTATACAGAATGGTTATTGATGACAATCAATTGTTACTTTTCACATTTGTGCTTACTGATAAGGTGATCAGAGCTTTTTGGAAACTTTGCATTTTTTTTTGTCTGATAATTGAATTCTTGGATAATAACTGAATTAATGTGCTTCAGGGAGAAAAATGGGCGAGTAGTAGTGGTATATTTTGGTGAAGGTGCAGCATCAGAAGGTGATACACACGGAGCAATGAATATCGCTTCTACAATGGTTTGTATTAATCCTAGGGACTGACGAATTAAATTAAGTATTTGATTATTCAATTCAAGTTTGCTCGTTAGTTAAATTGAAAATACAGATTGAACGAAAAAGATGTATTTGAATAACATTTGGTTAGTATTAGGAACAGTATGATTAATTTTTAGAAAATTGATTTAAGTTTACTTTTTAGAATAATTCCAATTAATTGATGAATCTTTAAACAATTTCAGAAATGTCCAGTAATATTTTTCTGTCGTAATAACGGTTATGCAATTAGTACACCAGCAACGGAACAGTATGGCGGTGATGGTATTTGTAGTAGGGCTAACGGATACGGCATTCATGCAATACGGTATTTTCTGGCATTTAAAAATTAAGAATATTATTCTTTTGGCTCAAGAGCTAATTAATTTTTCTAATATCTTGCATTGAATTTTTACATTAAAAAATTGTTTGTTATTAAGACAGTTTTTAGAATTAAAATTGCTTTTAAGAAAAAGAAATAATGGTTGTTTGACATGCATAAATGTTGAATCAATAAATATGTTATGTTGCTAAGCAAATAAACAAATAAATTAAAGGAAATTTGCAACAATAACAATAATAACAATAGAAATAACAATAACAGTAATAATAAATAATAATAATAATAATAGTTCTATGACTTTATTCCAATGTTAATGTAGAGTTGATGGTAATGATTTGATTGCTGTATATAATGCGACTAAAGCAGCTAGAGAGATAGCAAAGCAAAATGAGCCTATTCTTATTGAAGCTATGACTTATCGCATAAGTCATCATTCAACCTCCGATGATTCAACCACTTATCGGTAATTTTATTTTGAATTTCCATTTTTTATTCAAATTTGAACAGACTTTTTTAATTATTCAAATGCATAAACAAACGATTTATTTATATTCACTTATCATTTTAATTAAGTTAATAAAAAATGTTTATAGTCCCGATGAAGAGGTTAACATATGGAATCAGAAGGATAATCCAGTCACTCGATTTCGAATATTCCTCCAAAATAAGGGATGGTGGAATGATCAGGAAGATGTAGCATATCGGGATGAAGTAAGCAACACAATGAAAGCGTTTTTTTTCATCATGAAACATTACCGCTTTGAAACGATATGTATTTATAGGTGCAGAAGGAAATCATGAAAGCATTCTTGTATGCCGAAAAAATACCTAAACCGAATATTCCAAGCATGTTTGATGATGTTTACAAGGTGAGAATGAATTCGTCTTTTGTAATATAGAATTAATACATTTCCAAGTTGATGATTACAAATTTCTGACCTAAATTTGATTAAGTACTGCAATGAAAATAGTGACATAACAAACTGATTTTAATTATTTGATGTTAGATGATATGTAGGAGTTCGAATAAATGAATCACTGAGAATCTAAGTCAAGCTTCGTTTAATCTTTGCATTGATATCTAAATGGTAAGGCCTTACCTGGTTAGGTCTTCCCTGGTTTTTGCATTTCTCATCCATTTCGAAGTTTTCCTCCTTCTAGGTAATTAATTTGATTTTATATCATACATTCAACGATTTTTGGGTTATTTGTAGGAAATGCCGAAATTTTTACAAGAGCAACGTGATGAGCTTGCAGAGCATCTGAACAACTATGGCAAGCACTATCCAATGAAGAATTTCCAAGACAGTTAACATTTCTTGATAATATTATCCGATCAGATCAATTTTTTAATCATTCCTAACAGAAGAAAGGCCTTTAAAAGATGGGTAATCAGCACTCCTGTCAGAATACCGAAAATCACCTAACCTTACCGTTGTTAGCACTTGGTACAGCAAAACTACAGTTTCTTAGAGCCTAAACTCTATCTACCATCGCAACCTCTCTTATAATCTCCAGTACTTGCAGTAGTGCCAACACGTCTAGCATGTCGATAATTCCTTACCCATATACATTAATTACTGTTTTTTCTTGCGTGCCTGCATTGAACTGCAGGAAGCCTACAAACCGTTCTGAATACTCCGGACAAAGTATCCGAACTCTGATATATATATTCTGCTAGTGATTTGTCAACTACCTATTATCGATACTCATAAAACAGATATAAATAACGTTCACTCGATCATTCATCTTGTCTAAATCGAATTCAACACTAACTTGTGACAATTAAATCCCATTTATAACGTATCTCATCTACAATCCGACTTTTTTTACCAAATGCAACAGTTATTGCTTTGCGTTTCCAATGCAATAATATAGGGAATAAAATATTTCTTGAGACAGTCATAATATACATGTCACTGCCAATTCAGTTTGCGATAGTTTCATTGAATACATGAAAGAAATAAGCTATATATAACACATGACACAATATTCATTCAATTTCAAATCAATTTTTTGGTATTTAAGGAAAGAGAGGAATTACAAAATGAAGAGCATGATATAAGCTCAAGCGCTGATTTGGAGAAAGCAAAAAAATAGGGTGAGACATGACTGTTAAATTTTGCAGTTAATGGTTAAAACAGAGAATAAGACTGAAATGTGTTTTTACATTCAATAAAATGAACATTAGAGCTTCACTATCGCGCATCTTTTTTGGAGACAGGTAGAATCATATCAATTCAGTCTTCGCACCATGCATTTTCCTTTCGAATCTGCAAAGAATGATCCATTAAATCTATGAATGTATTAAAGCAAACTGTTTATTTAATGCATATTTATTTAATGTATAAAAATAATTTTAAGAAACTAATTGCTTTTTTAAAATTTCAATATTTTGTTATAACACTCGACCATCAAGCCGAATAGAAAAGAGATAAAAAATAATATCGAATCAGCTACTAAAGGTCAAAAGTTTAGATTAATAGCTTCGCATAGTGAGGACAGAAATATGTAATTCTTTAAAAAGAAAATGGCCATGGCGTCCGGAATTAAATCAAAACTTCTCAACAAATCAATTTTGTAACAGAATAACTTAGCATGAACAGCATGCGGTCGCGTCATCGAAATGAAATAAGTGTCATGCATTTTTTAATCAAGAAATTAGAAATAAATGGGTAATATCATTGGAAAACAGCTTAAAATCTCCCAACCTGTTCTTCTTCTTCTGGAGTGAAGTCATTCTTAATATTAAAGGTCCTTCGAATCTCTTCCGGTGACTTGCCCTTAATCATATTAGCTACCGTCTTGCACGTTACATCCAGCAGTCCTTTAATATCCAAATAATTCGCTGCCTGAAATATTTTTATATATTTTCTATAATGACACTTATCTTTTCCTCATTTACATAATAAAGCACTAATGACCAAGTCACCGCATGTTAGAGCAAAATTCCAACTGGTTCATGAGTCGCAACTTATTTTTCATCCAATAACTAATAAGTTCATGAATTTGCGTTTATAAAGCCGAAAGCACATGTAACAAATATTCATTTTTATAAAGAAAATGAAACCTAAACAGGAAATATTTCGAAGAGCGAAACATTGATATATAGAAGATGTCAATTTTTTGTGAACAGATCAAAATTTCTTATAAATGGATTAAAATTTAGATACTAAAGGCTAACAGCAATCAAAAATTCGAGAAGCCCCATAAACTTTTGCTTGTAATAAACGCAGAAATACATGATCAACATCTAAACCGAAAAAAATAAGGACTTGCCAGAATAAGCTCGAACAATGTGCCTTGATCAACTTTAAGGAATTCGACATCCCAAGATGAAATATCGTCAGTGCGCTTCTCTTTGTTATCATTATCTTCTGGTGGGATCGGATCATCTTTATGGTACTCACACCAATGGATAACCTGTGATATTAATGCGTAATAAAAAAGCATTCAAATGAATTTAATACAATTTCAGCCACATTTTTTTTAATTGGAATCGTCGGAAAAAAAACTTATTAGCTAAATTATCAGCTTCTGCAAATTTTGCTTCATTTCTTTCCTACTATGAAATGTGAACAAAATGAACCTCATTAACACTACGCAAGAGTAACGAATTGATAATATCCCTGAGTAAGGATATAATTTCAGCCGAATGATAAAAGTGATAACGAAAAATTTCACAAGAATTATTATCAAATACTCCACTTGCAGCTCGTGCTCTATGAATGATAATGACTTTTATGAACATACATGTTCGTTACCCACTTAAAATAGACCTTTAGTCAGCTATAAAGTACATTAATATGGACTATACCAACTTGTTAATAATTTTGAGAATGCTTTTCTTCTTCCTAACCTTTTTGAGAATGGCTGAGTTGACGCTTTGTAATGGAATACCTTCAACCATGTCAATATCCCCTCCATCTTGATTATCCATTCCCAAATCTACAATTAAAACACGTATACCAGGAATTATAGAAAGCATATCTGCGAAGTGAAATACATGCGCATCACTAAGCGCACAGCACAAGTACATCAAGCATTGCAATTAGTACACAAACTCTAAATTTCATAATTTGGAAATAGCTATGTGGTAAAACTGAGAAAAACTGTTGCTCATAATCTATTCTGTTATGCATCCATCTGTCATATGTCTGTATCTGTTATGTATTTCCATCTGTTATGAAGCTTTAGCATTTTCACGAATCTTATTGTCAATTCACCTTGAAGCATTGTGTTGATCGTGGTTGATAATCTGATCACATTTCGGTCAACTTCGAATGTCTCATTATCGGATGATATTAGCGAAATTTTCTGCTGCACGGGTTTCTGTTCGCTCATTCTTAGTAGTAATGCGATGATACTGTAAAACTGGTAATAACACCTGATAATTTTTCTTTGTACTACAAAAGTCTCAATAGTTGTATAGAAATTATAAAATCAACCGCAAGAACGTCCCAATGAGCACTGCGCTGTAGCAAGCAAAACAGAACACTAGGAATGATTAATACAATATATAGACGCACTTTGGGCCTCGTTCACTCTCTCTAATAAAATCAATGCACTTCTCAAACATCAAGCAAGTATCCTCAAAAAATCCGTGCCAGTCATAAACAAATCATAACCAGCATATTCCACTCATAGTATTCCAAAAAAAAAGGAAAAAAACAAACAAAATTAAAACTGCTTGTGAAATAGAGTGAGAGAATAACAAGGAGACAAGGGATTCCTCAATTTGCAATGAATGACCAAGTGGTTTATTCGATCAATTGGTCAAGATATTTTCCCTGATGCATCAAGCTTTGATAAAGTAAGAAATGTTGTTTTGAATTTAATTGATTAAGAAAGATGATTTAAGATTCTTCCAAGTGTATGAAATTGAGTAGTAAACAACGCGGCAATAAAAGGTTATTCATAACTGAATGATCGGACGGTTCATATACAAATAAACTTTCTATCATTTAATATCCATCATTGAATGATCGGATAATCCATGCACAAGTAGAAATTTAAACCATCCGCACGGCCATGTTAAAACCATGATATTTATGATTTCCATAGTCAACACTTTGCTTCATATTTTCTTGAAAAGCAGAATTATATATGCAATTTTTCAAACTACTATTTCCTTCACATTTTTCATTGCGGGAAATAACTCAAAACCCGTCGAAGTTGCACTGAGAATCCGAAATCTATCTATTTGAAGCTCGTATCTACTTAATAAGAGTATTAGATGTGAATATCTATACTAGGATTACCTAACGCATCTGGACTACTAATAAACCATGCATTCAAATAAAAATCCCAATCAGCATAATGAAAATGAAATAGCAGACAGGAACTCCTGCGTTTTTCCTCTGTTTCGTTAGACTGAATGCGATTCTTATTTGAAGTATATCGCTTTTCCTGCTATCAAACTATTCTAAACAATCGATCTATTATTCGTTTCTAAATAATGGCAGTTTGGAATCAATTTATTTTTGGTTGACGCCAACGTGCAATCAATTCATTCTTGACTCGGCTATTCAATACTTTTGTTACATGATGCTTTAACAGCACTATAACTCAACCTGTCACAATTCTTAGAACAAACCAAAACATGCCCTGCCGCCTTCTCCGCCCAATCTCAGAACACCCGAAGCTCCCGAACCGTCCCTCCGCTCCGCTCCTCCGTCCCTCGCGCTGAACAATCACAGGATCATCTGATACCGTAGCAGAACTCGAATTTACGTAACCGAGACAAGTCGTTGCAGCACAAATTCATGTCATATTCTAACGTTGAATATATTTGCGTTATTGTGGTACTAGAGGGTTGCCGTTATGTAATTCACCCGTGCAAAGAGAAATATGACAAAACCTGTCCACGTGAAAGTAATTAATTACTGTGATATAGCCCACCCACGTGAAAATCTATGAATAAGGAAAAGCAGACTTTTCCAAATTTTATTTCTCAAGATTTGATTTTAAAAACAGTTCTTTGCTAAAAAAAAGGTGATGGTTTGGTAGTTATAGCATATGAAAACAAGATTTCGAAATTATCTGATCAGCTGAGAAGTTCAAAAATTCTTGATATCCCAGACATCCCAAACAAATGGATGATGCTCTGAACCGCTGCAGAAGGAAATAAGGATCTGGAGAAGAAAAGAAAGTCTGATAACGATTTATATATTATAAAAATTGATAAATGAAATGGTATTAAAATCGGAACTGTTTTACTAAAAGCAGCATAAAGTTCAATCAGAGCTGCAAAATTTTTTTTGTCATGTCAGATCATAGCAACAAACTAACCAACCGTCTATCTTGGTGAATTTGAGTTGAAATTAGCTTCCAATCCAATCAAACTTCTATTTATACTTTTCTGCCCTCTATGAACTCAAATTCTTACGCAGATTGGTAATTGACAGCTACTTATTTGCACACGTGATGTCTACGTGATTGACATGTGTGAATGTATTTCGATGTCCATTTTGAAATGTCACTATCACGATGAACTCATAATCATTTATTACAAAATTTGTTTAAATGATAGGAATGAAAGGGGTTATATTTATTGCAACTTTTCAATTTGATAAATTGAAATTACTTCATATAAAATTGCGAGGATAATTTCGTAAAATATTGTTGTCATGTCGATGATTTCAGGAGATTGAATATGAATTTAAAGTAAGTGCTCATTGAATTGATTTATCTAAAGCTCACGCGTCTAATATAATACTCACGCGTCTAATACTCTCTAATTTAAATCTTATCTTCAAAAAAAAAAAAAAACTTTGATTAGAAATGCTCACGTTGTGAATTCAAAAAAGTTTTGTATTTTCTAAGTATATAACCAAGCCCTAAACAGTTTTTGTACCAGAAAAAAATGTACCAGAGCTTATTTTCTAGGACGTATTTTTAATGTAAAAATCTGCGAATATTAGAAGCAGATCATCTTCTGCATCATCTTCTACAACATTGTCATAACTACAAATTCGAGCTTGAATTCCATGTGACATGAACTCCCTTAATTGAATGCTTCTTATCTATGTTGCCTGCTTGCAGTGCATAAGCAGCTCAATTGTTAATTCCACAAACTCTTCCTCAAAGTGAAGATTTCTTGCAGCCTATGCTTCATAGCGATTTCCATTCTAGATTCAATGCATTTGATGATTGCCGTACAGAAATGACCCTCAAAATTTCAAAACAATGCCTCTTACTTGATTAAAGCTTGATCAGAAGAGATACCTTGACCAAGTAATATCACCTGGTCATTTGCTGCTAATTGAGTACATCTTTTGTCTCCTTATTATTCTTTCATTCTGTTCTATAAGCGATTTTAATTTTGTTTTTTTTTTCTTTCTCGGGAAACTGCGGGTTGAACATAATATTTATGATTTGTTTATGATTAGCACGAATTTTTTGAGAAAACTGTTGCTTGATTTTTGAACTGAAATGTTTTTCTGAAACGATTTAATGTAAATGCAACTGCCAAAAATACATTCATTGCTGAGTATTTCACGTCTAAAACATACATAGCATTCCGATGAAATAACCTTACGAAGTTATTTGATCGGATTCTTGTCTCTTTGTTCGTTTAAAGTTTCTAAGTTGAATAAAAGGATAGATACGAAATTTGAAATCAGAATTATAGAATTATACTTTCTAAAACAACAATTCATGAATGAATCTTTGCCCCCAGCGTGCGGTATATGCATATGATTGTTTATTTGTTCCATTATCTTTAACTAATACAGAATTGAAAGATATTTTAAAATCTTTCAAGACCTATTTGCTCTGCGCAGATGACGTCGTTCGGTTATCGTTGGCACTTCGTTGAATTTTTCTTTTTTGTTCACTCAAGATCTCGGTATCTGTCGAAAAGTTATCAAGTAATTTGTTGTCATTAAATTCCAAAATTTGATCTTCGGAAAGGTCGATAGAGGCTTGTTGCCAGTTGGACAACAGTGGGAAGATTCGGTTTGTAAGTATATGTAGTGGAAGTGTATAAAAGAGAATGCTTGATGACATATTAGCTTGATGACACATTAGAAATATGTCGTTAACATGAGAAATGTAATATGATGATCTTCCTTGGTATAAGATAATTATAAAAAGGTTCGATTTAGCAGAATTGGAGGAATTTAAGGGAGAAATGGTAAGGAAACGCAAAAAACGTGATCATTTGATGTTTAACAGTCTTTCTTCCATGAAATCATTTGATGTTTAACAGTCTTTCTTTCATGAAATCATTTGATGTTAGCAGTCTTTCTTTCATGAAATCATTTGATGTTAGCAGTCTTTCTTTCATGAAATCATTTGATGTTAGCAGTCTTTCTTCCATGAAATCATTTGATGTTAGCAGTCTTTCTTTCATGAAATCATTTGATGTTAACAGTCTTTCTTTCATAAAAGAATTCTCAAAAAGCCATGCTCCGTATTGTAATCGACTTGTCTCCGTTTTTTTATTCGGTTAAAATGCTTGTAATAGCTGTCGAATATTATCTTTCAGCGTCATTTCACTTTATTTTTTTGTTTAAAAGAATAAGCTGGGATGTGTTGTAATGGCAAGGAGAATGATAATGAAGAAAATGAAAACCGTGCAGCACAGTGGGTAAGTTGAAATTTTAGAAATTGGTATTTTTGAAAGTAATGTTGAAGAATTTAGTTTTCACTTCGAAATTCTGTTTATTAAAACTTTGTTACAAAATAAACAATCGTTGTCATACGTTTAGCGTTGAAATTCCGTCAAGATTATCTTATCTAACATGAAGCGGCTTTACTAACGAAATTCGATATTTGATAAATTGGATCCGGAAATTCCTCAGATGCTTTTGGATATTTATTATTGTTTCTTAGAACTCTGCCAGTACAGTTTCAATAGGTTATCACTGTTTAGCTCTTTTATCACTACTTCGTTACGTAAAACATTTTTCTTAGAAGTTTCAATTTTCAGCAAAATTATATGGAGACGAAAAAGGCCAAACTTCAATATCAAGTAAATGTATTGAACAAGCATAAGTGCATTTCCTCAATTTTTGAAGGCATTTCAATTTTTGTTAATGGTTATACAGGTGATTTCTTATTTTTCTTATAGAAATGGAAGGTAACAGATTTTGATGAAGACTACATTGTTTGCTGAAAGTTATGATAGTGAACACATAAGTGAAGACATCAACAATAATTTCTTATGAATGAATTAAAAATACACGACGTTATTCTCCATAAGCGCGTTAATGCAGAGAAATCGTAAACATCTGTAGGTTTTTCACAGCTGACAGCAGCCAACAGTGATGTGAAATCGGCCAATTTCATACATTTAAGGCACTTAAGATGTTATGTTAATGCGTATACATTTATTAATGCATTTAAATTTCTAAAACTATTTGCATAAATTCAGATCCACCAGCAGCGGAATTGCGGGAATTAATACATTTGCATGGTGGCGAATTTCATATTTACTACAAATATGGCACTACAACCTATACAGTCGCTACACATTTAGCTACTGGTAAAGCGAAGAAGCTCCGAAAGGAGGAGAAAATCATTCATCCCAGATGGCTTACCGATAGGTTGCCTAATAAATTTTTGGGGATGTAGCTCCTTTTTTACTGCGTTGCTCATTATATTATTAAAACTTATCTTGTCAATTAAATATAACCATCCTTTGGGATGAGACGATCGCTATATGAGTATGGAAAGTTGTATGATTCATTAAAAAAATTTTTTGTTTACAGTGTCAGAATAGGAACTCGCTTATGCGAAGACGATTATTTGTTGTATAAAGATGGAGTACAAACATCTGTGGCAAAAAAATTTGCGGCTGAGAATTATAGCGCCTTAAAAGGAGCACGAAGTGCTGCGAATGATCCAAACTTTGTGAGTAACTTTTATGAAAGGTAAAATTTCTGTGTTTGGAGTGATTTTTTTCTAGATAAGTGAGGCAGTCCTGTTTGGCATATCTTAAATATTAAAATTTGGCATATCTTAAATATTTTGACAGAAAAATACGAGTGCATTTCAAAGGGTCAGCGATTTTTCTTTTGAACTGTTGAAAAATAGTAACTACGACTTCATCATTTATTCTTTTAAACATAACTTTTGAGAACACTTAAAATACTTCAGATGATTCTGTCAATCTGAAACTTAAGCTTGCTTGCACAAAAGTTGATATGCGGTTTTCTTTTTTCACAACCCACTTCATAATTAATTTGTCGATGACTAAAGATAGAGCAAATTTTAGATCTCGTCTACATCTGATTTCAACCTTGGCACAAGAAATGAAGCATTATATAAACGAGCTAAGAGAAAATCAAACTGGTAATTTTCCTTCGCGGGTAAACATACAGCATTTGATTGATAAAAATTTTACTAGGTGAGCAATTATTTTTGGAATATTTGAATTTTCATTTCATTCATCACTTTACAATGTACCATGTTAACAACATTTTAGCAAAATGTTCTAAATTGTATTATATTATTTGAGTTACTTTGCACATATGTAAATGCGGCTTATCCCTTTATGCTATTAGACGTAACATGATACTATGTGATAAATTATTTCAGTCTTTTTAGTTTTCCGAAAGAAACCATTTGCCATATCGATTTGGATTGCTTTTTTGTGTCGGTAGCACTAAGAACTCATCCGGAACTGATTGGAAAACCGGTGGCCATTACCCATTCAAGAGTATTCTTTACAGATATTTTGATAAAAATTTATATTACCGGTTTGGGATTGTTTTTGTCATTCTTCACAACACACTTTTCCTTAATGCAGCTGACAACTGTTAGGTTCCATTAATTCAGATTACATAGTCTTATTTTATTAACATGTAAGAAAGCTATTTTTCTGGCATAGCTTGAGAAAATATGCTTGTAATTGTTCTTGTTCTTGTTCTGACAATATAATAATATGTATATTGGGTAATAACTGAAACGATATATTCTTTTTTATCAAAAAATTAGCTTTATTTTTCCAAATGATCACGGTTTACTCATTTAAGAAAATAAAGCTAATCGTATTTTTTTTAAGAGTACAGAAGGTGTTGGTATGTCTGAAATTGCATCATGCAGTTATGAAGCTCGAGCACAAGGTGTCCGTAATGGCTGTTTAATTAAAGATGCGCGGAAAACATGTCCGGATCTCATTTGTCTTCCTTATCAGTTCGATGATTATCGACGCATTTCAAAGGAAATCTATTCAATTTTGTCAGGGTTAGTTGTCGAACCTGCTGATTTATTGTTATTTATCTTAGCATAATAGTGCTGAGGCAAATGTATGAAAGTTTTAAAGAAATGTATTTGTAATGCATTAAGCAACAAGAGACATTGAAATTTTAAGTACCATTAATTAAGGTGGATATTGACTCGAAGTAGAGTTATACTAAGGTTATTGCTTATGTGTAAGCAGATATGAGCCTAATGATAAGTTTGGTATTTTCTACAGCTGGCTCAGTTATAAATAAACCGCTTGTTGCTGCGAGTGGAAAATTATGAAAAATTCAATACTGTGAAGCAGTTATCTACTGATTACAGAAATATAAAATAACTCTTGTTGTCTCAGACTTTATTATTCTCCATTAAACAGCGGCCTGTAGCGCTAATGACATAGTGCTGGTGACTTTTATCAAATAACTGAATTGAGAAATTGAAGTTAAGCGTGCAAGTATCTGCTGTTTGTTTTTTTACAGACTAATTTTTCTAATATATTAACTAATAAATTTAGATATACGCTTAATATTCGTGCTATAAGTTGCGATGAGATGTATGTTGATTTGGAAAGCTTGTGTAATGATATGCATATAGCGAATGTAATGGAGATTATATCTACAATAAGGAGTGAAATTTTGGCTAAAACAGGCTGTAATGCTTCTGTAGGTATTGGTAAGTTGAATTTTCTTAAAAGTTCGTAGTTATTAGTATGTTATTGTCTACAAGCATCGTTATTTTACTGCTGTCTTATCAATTCTTTTATTCTATGTACTTTATTACTTTAGAGTACATTATGGATGTATTTAGGAAATACAATGTTAATGGCTCGTATAGCAACTCGGCATGCGAAACCGAATGGTCAATTTATAATTAAATTGGGCGATATCGATGAATTCATCAAGAAAGAGAAAATTTCATCTTTACCTGGAATTGGTTATAATATTTGCGCAAAACTCCAAAAGTATACATTTGTGTTTTGGAATAGATTTTTTTCTTAACAGAAATGAATAGTGTTTATGATCAAATTAACAATTTGATGAATTCAATTAAAATTGGGAAATCTTGCAGTGCGTTCGGTGAAATGAGTTTATGTGAGGACTTGCAAAAAGTACCTATTAATCGTTTGCGAAATCTTCTTGGTGAAAAAATCGGGACTCAGGTTAGCTTTGGAAATTAAAGGCTTATGTATACTTATATTAAATTTATTTCTGTTGTATTTCTCCTCAACCAAAAAATGTCATGCACTTACTCGGGGATTTTGCGCAACTTTAAAAAGGGATATTACAATAAATTGAAGACTGAAATATCCCTCAATCAGAGCTCTGATTGAAATAGGACCTCTCTTGAAGTTATTTTTATTCATTTGCTTTTTGCTAAGTTTTTTTTGGTTATGCTTTCAGATATACAATATGTGTAGAGGAATCGATAAAGAAAGGAATTTTTTGGAAAAGGTTATCCGTAAATCTGTTTCATGTGATATAAATTACGGAATTCGATTCACGGAAGTATGATTTTTTCATTTATTGTCTTGCTATTAAGCCTCACTGAACACAAAATACTGGTTAAGTTATAATTTTGGGGAAATTTCTTAAAATATTTCAGGAAAATGAAGTGATGGAATTTCTTGGGAAAATATGTTCGGAGTTGGAAAAAAAACTTCATATTGCCCGGATGACTGCATCCACCATTACCCTCAGATTACTGGTAAATGATTATTTGAGATTTTTGAATGAGTGAAAAAGGTTTTGTTCTAAAATATGTGCAATTATTATTTATTGCAGATTCGTGCACCAGATGCACCTGTTGTAACAGAAAAATATTTGGGTTGCGGGAAATGTGATGCAATTACAAGAACGGTTCATGTGGAAGGCGCAACTGCAAACAAAGAAGTTTTGCATGCAGAAGTTAAAAAGTTAATGAAAGCAATAAATCCAATTATATGCGACTTGAGAGGAGTGAGTGTTTTCTGATAGGTCGTTAAGAAATCACAACCACAGAAAAAACCATTTTGAAATCTATTCTGAAAGATATTATAACTTACAAAACTGTGAGTTGAAAAGGCAAATTGATCTTTGATTGCTAAAAATAGTCCAA